ATTAAAACTGCCTTCTTCACGCTTATTGCAAATACGACCCTCTTTCACTTCAAGATTGAACAAATAACAGCAGGCTTAACGGAAAAAAAGTGCTGCTACACAAATGTTCAATGAATGGTTTAACTACAAAGAGAACCACGCTTTACATAAACTAAGCGCTTGAGTTACAAGCAAAAGGTTGACATCTTATTAAACACGAAACTTAGAGACAAACGTGCGCTAGTTTGTAGCACAAATTGAACACTTTTTAGTATGGCAGTTAACACATTAATCTGCAAACACGGAAAATGTATGTTATTATTGTTTTTACAAGGATATAATGCTCAGGAATTGATATGTGTTTCTATTCATTTAGTTGACATAACAGGGCAGTTCCCTTCTCAATCCAGAAATCAGACGACAGGTCAGTCGGTAGATACACGGCGACAACAAAGTTAGTTGAGTGCCCTGCAAGGAAAAAAAAGAAGAGCTTTTCCTTATCACCATAAAGACGCACGTAGCTTAGAGTTAACTTTTGTTATCATTGACAATGAATGGAGAGGTGAAATGCAGTCTTGACGCCAATAGGGTGTTACCACAACATACTTTTGGCGCTTTTTTTTATCCTGCACTGAGTACCAGATGCGCGAGTTATGGCGCTTTGCAGTACATGCACGCTCTGTCCCTTTTTCCCGCGCTTGGCAACCGGCCGCCAATGTCATGGGTGTATCTTACTCGGCGCAGCTAACATGTTGCCTTGCAAGTTTTACCAATATCAAGTTTTATCATGCTTAATACCGGTAACATGTCTTCGGCTCCATTAATTAAAAGATTATCACGTGTTTGTAGCCTTATAATTCTAATGGCGATTGCTTCTCTATTCCATCATGAAAGTCTTCTGAGAAATAGGCCACTTCCGAGTTCCAAAGACCCCTAACTTTCAAAATGAGGCTAGGTGTACAACCTTTCTTGTGAAAATAAGTGTTATTTGCATGAGAATGAAAAATGATTTCCATATCAAAGGCTGAGCACCTCGTTTTGAAACAGAGGCCCGGGGGAACTCGGAAATGGCCCGCTGATATGATAATGACAACGATAATGGTGATGATGGTGATAGTGATGATGTCTATGGCGATGGCGGTGTAACGACGACGATGATGATGATAATAAACTTACAATAATAATAATAATGACAACTATGGTACTGATGACGATGATAATGATGTCGATGATGAAGATGATGACAATGACGACAACGATGATGATGTTGATGATAATAATAAAGTGACAAGTTAAAATATTAAATCAGACGATGATCAAAGACGTCTTTACCTGTTGTGGACAGCACACCAGCGCGGGCGGACGTTTTATACAGCGGGCTCGTGTACAGCGAAGGGTCTGGGGTGTAGTTCATCCGGGGCTCCATGTGCAAAATGGGACAGGGCTTAAATAAAGAAGACACGTCGATTTAAAGACATCACTCAGAATGTTACACGAGTATGTTATCTCTACTACTATCACTAATTGTCGTGTTTTGACGGTTTATGCAATATATATATATATTCTCTCGCCTTTAAGTTTGTCGGAGTAACAGCGTTTTGAAAACAAGATACATAGCCCTTCATTACTGCCTTCAACTCAAGCAATCTGGTTGTTCTAGTGACACGAAAAATATTCGCCAGTAGCTTTTGCAGCGGGTTAAGCAAAGCACACGAACTGCAAGGACTAGTGCACGGTGACGTCATTTTAGTACAACTACAAGGATCATTCAGTTTGTTTTTTTTTTCTTGTGCAGATTAAGGCTATTGACCACTCCAGAAAATACCATAACATACCATAATGCTCTTTGTTTGTCACCCGAAAATTTTGCATAAGTAGTGTTTTCAGTATCTCTCGGGGCCATTTTAACTCCCAAGAGAAATTGAAGACAATGCTTATTGAAAATTTAAGGGTAAAAAACAAAGAGCATTATGGTTTGTTATGGTATTTTCTGGAGTGGTCAATTGATTTTTACACAGGATTGACAACTTAAATAAGAAAGGAGAAACGAAATGAATTCTGGTAGTTGTAGTCAAATGTCATCAACGCGAAAATTAGTCTGCTACACAGCCGTTTTTAGTGTCGTCACGCAACGCTCCTCCAGTGGGGAGGAGCGTTGCGTGACGACACTAAAATCGGCTGTGTAGCAGACTACGCGAAAATGGCCTATTCTCTGATTCCGACACGCTTATGGGTATTTCTAGCGGTAAAAAAGGATTTTAAAAAATCGCTGAAAAGTATCGGGTCTTACTGGATTCATCTCTCCATCAAGCGCATCTCCCAGCATCATTTTTTCATCATCCCAGCGTGCTGCATCTATAAACAGACCATGTACCAGGACCCCGTCATCTGGCGACTCTAACTCCTCGTCCATCGGCAGGGTTTGGTCTGGGTCGAGTTTAGATCGAGCTTCGCTCACTTCCTCTTGGTTGCGGTACATGGGTAACACGTTGAAGTGGAAAGACAACTGGTCAATAGGTAGATTGTACTTGCGGGCGTGGTTTTGGAGGGTGCCGGTCAAGAAACCTAGCGATAACAAACAATTCAACGATTAGAGGGATTACAAAAGATTTTGAATCCATATGAAACATACATAGTCAAAGCGAATCAAATTATACGGCATGTTACAGTTCGTGATCTGCTCAATAGCTTATTTCGATGGAAATACCAGGGAACCATATACTGAAAATTAAAACAACCTTGTACAGCGTAATAAACAGTACCACAGGAATAAACTGCTCAGTAGCTTTCATTTGAATGGTCACACTTTAAGATTTTATCCACATATTCAAAAGTTAGAACCACCATGTACAGCATAATAAACGGCACCACAGGAACGTACTGCACAGAAGATTTCATGTGAATGGTCACACTTGTTACATCCACAGACTTAAAAGTTAGAACCATCTTTTGCAAAATCGCAGCCACCATGTACAGCATAATTAACAACAGCACAGAAAAGTAGCGTCCGTTAGCTTTTTGGAAAGGTGAATAGCACGCATCGGTTGAGATATAAGTTTCATACAATGCTAAATATTGGTTACCTTGAGGATAGAAGAAACCAGAAATCCAAAATGACTTCGGCGCACCGTATTGAATCCATTGCTGTGGGTAAGAATGAGTTAAAACTATCATCTCAGCCTACCTTTTTCAGAGTGAAAGGACTGGTGTTTGGTCATGAATGAACTGTTACACTAATTTAAGAGTTATTTTCTTTAGGAAACAGAATCAACGGCCCAAGCCCATCTACTGCAACAAGGAAAAATCAGATCTGAGAGCCCCCAATAAACGAAAAAGGCAAAATATTGACCACGAAAAATTCCACGAAATTGAGAACTACAAGGCGTCACGAAATTGAGCACGATTGAGCTTAGTTCGAGATTAAAGGGAATTGCAGTCTGGGATTTTGAAAGCTCTTAAACCCAACACAAGCTAATTATGCACAAAACTCTGTAACTCCTTCCTTTTTTTGGCAATATACTTTGAACCCCAAAATGGCTTCAAACCGGAGTAAAATTATTCAAAAAGAGCCGTTTTTACACTGGATCGTTACTAAGTGCTTCATAGTCCGTAGGAATTCTTTGCAGTTGGGAGGTGACTTCGTAGTTTGCAAAAACTCTGCACGTGCTTTTTTGTACATTTCTTTGCCGTCACTGCACGACTACGACGTGAAAATCCCTAATTTCATGTTTTATGGAAGACTCAAACAAGCGACGACGAAATGTTCTTTCTCTTTCTAAACGAGAGTTCGGTCCTCAAGAAATCAACTCCAGGGAAATTCGCCTATATTAAACATTTTCAGGAAATTGAAATAAACGCGACAAAGTTTCAAGAAACACGAATTCATTTTAAAAGTGACGTTTTTGCTACCGTCGCGGTCGCCGATGCTAAAGCTCCATAACATTTGACTTACATCTATGAACAGGCATCTGAGCAGCAAATCCTTAACCCAGGATCCCAACGGCTTCAATGAAGGATACGCTGCATTTGCCCACATTGTTGGAACCTGCGAAAAGAAAAAAGGTCTCGTTGATATGGAGAAAACCACCGTAAAATTTCCTCAAGTCCGCGATCGATAAAATAAGATAGAAAATGTACCGTCGTCAAGGAGATTTTGGACCAGAAAAGCTTTTAGGAAAACAGACCAACCTGATTGTTCAAAAAGTTAGTGTAAACTTTATCCAGTTCCAGTGACATTACGACCAGACCCTTGATAGCTTTCTGAAGCTGTTGTAACGACGTCTGAAAAAGTAGATACAGCGGTTATTTACCTCAAGCAAAATACTGATATCGACAATAGCGCATTTCTTATTCGCCCTAAGGCTCTGTGTCAAAGTGAGGTAATAAGAGGTAAGCCGTTGATAACAAAACGTTTGTTTATTTTTGAGCAAATAAAAGTCATTTTCGCAGGAAAGGTTTTGCAGTAAGCCTTTTTTTTAAAGTGAGAGTTCTTGCAACTCAGAAATGGCCTATTTTGGCCGGTCATCGGGAAAGTTTGGGCAAAAATGGATAGCCTCGCAGGTTCATTTTTTTCGAATAAAAATCTCTTGAACTGTTCCGTGAATTAGTCACGTGACAATAATTGATTAAAAATGGCGGGAAGTTCATAACTTCGATCTCTATTTAGGGTTGACGCTGACGTCTGATGTGGACGACCTCCTTGGTTTTTCTTTGTTTTTCTATGTTACATTGCTCTGTTCCTGCCATTATCTTACCTTGATGACTTTCAAGAGAGAGTTAAATCGATCAACCTCTTGTCCCAGTACAGTAGTCAGCGAGTTCACACGTCCTTTAGCATCAGTCTGGAGAAGACAATGAAAATAAGAAACACGACCAATACAGAACCGCTGCGCAATGTAAACAGGCTGACTTAGCAACAGAACGTTAACGTCGGTTGACGAAAGCGCGAAATTAAACAACTGGCTTGACCAATGGCAGAGCGGGAAATTGAGCACCGGAAGTCGTGTTTAGTCCTTTCCGCGCGCTTTCCCGTCGTCAACTGACGTTCCCGTCCTGTCGCTAAATCAGCCTAGTAAAATGATGACTCGACCCTCATATTAAAGGAAACAAGGCGAAAAACATTGAGCCAAAAAGGTTTCCAAGACTTCGTAAAATCAATCCAGTGAAAATTCTTTCGTCATTCCGCATTAGAAAATCGATTTTCTACGTCTCCGAATAAACTTTATTTGGAGACGGAGAAACCCGTTTTCTCTGCCTTTTTCCTGACATGCAGAAACTCGATAATATTAGCCAAAAGGTGAGTATCATAGAGTTGGCACCTGTTATGTCATTAGTACCATACGAAATCTGTTAAAACAGAGACGCTAATATTATCTGTAGCCTGCTTCTCAGACGAAAGTCGGAGGTCACTCGTTCTAAAGCGGAATTTCAGCGAACGACAAAGGACCATCTGAGAATCAGAAAAATTGCTATGGTTGAAAAGACTGTAACCTGCGTAACAAGCGATTCCGCTCGACTTATTGCGCGAAAACTTGGAGCAAGAGCAAAAAAAAGTAGGAGGTAGGAGGAAAGGGAGTCAAATTCTGGTAGACGCCTAGACTTTCTCAAAGCCCGTTTCCGCTTTCTGCTGGTTAGTTGGTCAGTCGCGACTTCATTGCTGGTTTTAGATCGATTCGGGAGCGTCCATCGCGCCTTCGGCGCTCACGCAGTGGATTTGTGGCACGTTTAGTATACGCCCCGTGATATTTCTTTCGATCTATGAAACTTAAACCCGGTCACCCCATTTTTTAAGCGATTTTTTGCTCTCGTTCCAGGTATACACAGAGATTCGTTGTCGTATGTTCACGTTGCGATAAAACGAAATTAGGCAAGCTACGCAGGCTATAAAGCCCGCGGCTTCAAGATAAACTCAGAGTTTTCTGTTAGTCATACCTCAAATATAGCTTTATCGGCTTTCTCCATGTCCAGTGCGACAGGCAGTTTGGAGAGTATGCTTTCTGCAAGCTCATACACAATCTCATCGCTGGTTTTACCGCTTCCTCCGCTGGCTAATCGAGGCTGTACCTCCAACACTGCTGTGATCAGAGCATTGGTCTCTTGAGTCTGTAGATAAAAAAATATAATGATCACAAAATCAACAAAGCAAAGTATCCCAACGCGTTGAGGGAATAAGAATAAGAAAAACGTTTAGCACGTTCACTAAGAAGCACTTTCCAAAAGTCAGAAATGGCCGGCCAGACCATTCATTTTGAAAATAAAACAGTTTTTTCTTGAAATTCTCCCACTAAAAACTCACCACTGCCGGCCGAACCATTTATAAATAGACTGATCTGAATTGTTAGTGGTGATTAATAGTGGAATTCTCTTTAAAATTGGACCGGTTTGGCCGGCCAGTTCTAACAAATGGGAAGAGCAAAACAGTTAGGTATCGAAAAATTATATTTTAGCACTGCACTACTTCTCGCGTAAACCTTATATAGGATGAAACCAAATTTCCTCATACTCTTTTTAGGAATACAAACTACTCCTACCACGTTTACCTTTTCTAAGTCTGTTCCCCGGAGCAATTACACGACGAAAACAAAACAAAACGAAACGCAAAAAAGAGAGAAAGAGATAGTGTAGAGGTGGCTTAATATTCATAAGTTTAGAGTGTTCTTACTTGGAAGGCGATATTAGCGTTATTATGCATTCCAAATATCTCTGGCTCGTCAGCAATCGGCAAACTATCAATGTAATCTCTGTATTCCGGTAGCGAGTCAAATCCAGGAGGAAAGTAGATACCTGAAGATAACATACATGACCTATTAACGTCAAAGTTGACCAAATGACTTACAGGATGCTTCTCTAACTTTTAAACCTGTGGGTAAAATCATGTGTAACCATTCAAATGAAAGCTACTGAGCAGTACTTTCCTGTGGTACTGTTTATTATGCTGTACAAGGTGGTTCTAACTTTTGAGTCTGTGGATGAAATCCTAAAGTGTAACCATTCAAATGAAAGCTACTGAGTACTACGTTCCTGTGATATTGATTACTATGCTGTACAAGGTGGTTCCACCTTTTTAGTCTGTGCATGAAATCCTGACGTGTGACTTTCCTGTGGTGAGGAAATGGGGAAGGTGAAGAGGTTTCTATTAACATAAAGCCATTGGTGCAGATAATAGAGAGCTTCAAAAACAAGGTGACGACGACGACAACAATAAAAAAGTCGCTAAAAAAAGTGATTTTTTTTCCTTTCAAAAGCTATCGCGTCTATTTGGACCAGCTCATATTAGGCGATTTTTCCTGGAGGTGTATTCTTAAGGACTAGGTTCATAAAAAGAAAGAAAATTCGTCGTTGTATGTTTACGTCCTCCATAAAATGTTGCATTAGCAGGTTTCACATCATAGTCGTGCAGTGGACGTCAAAGAAATGTACTGAAAAGCGTGATGCACGTGCAGAGCTGTTGTTTTGCTCGTAAAACCAATTCTTTTTTGACAATGTTGTTTTCGTCCTCGTCGTGGTTGCTTCAGCTCCCTAATAACGCAATACGAACCTCACGCTGATTTTTCAAATTAGAAGGCGATGAACATGTTTTGTGTGAACGTATTTAATCTTCACCTGAGTTTGAAAACTTGTAGTCATCTTCCAGAATAGTAGGCGAGAAAAACCTGCCGAGAATTGTGGTTAAGCAACGCTGATCCCAAGCATCGGTGACTCGTCCTCCATACGTGATCTGGGAACAAAAGCGAGGAATTGGCAAGTAAATAAAAGACATCAGATATCAGTTTTCTTGAAAATCAACAGCATGCTTTTTTGTTGGGTCCCCGACTTCTAAAATCAATATTGTTCTTCAATAAATGAGTAAGACCCGTTTACACGAGTGCGGACAAACTTTTGAAAGGACGTATGTTTTACTCGAGCAACCCGTTTAACACGGCATCGTACAAGTTCTGTTACAGATAGCAATACTGTTTGCCGTTCAAAAACTTGCATGGTACCGCGGGTCCCATGTAAAAGAAAGGCGGATCACTGCAAGTTTTTGTTCGCTCAAAAGTTTGGTTGGACCTGTGTAAGCGAGGTCTAAACAACAAATAAATAAACAAACCAACAAACAAATATATGGAAAAATTATTAAATGAATAAAGTGTTTATTACCTCGCCTGTGATAAAGGTAAGAGCGTCCCAGGGAATCTGACCTTCTGCAAGAAACATCTTTAAATTGTCGAGTGCGGATTCCCGATCTGAGTCGTTGAACTCATACTGTGAAAAATCATGTTAAGAACATACATTGTCAGATGATAACAAATAAAACATCCATTCTAAAAATTGCTCCCTTCTCCTTTAACCTTTTAAGCCCTTAGAGTGATTAGCATTAAATTTCTCCTTGTAATATCAACGCTTTGTAAAACAGAGTGGTCATGAGAATTGAGTACATGATCAGGGAAGATAAGTCTAATTGATATTTCAACAAATTCTCTATACTGTTTCTATTGAAAAAGTATAGGGACAGGAAATGATAATCTCAATTTTGATATTAGGGTTTAAAGGGTTAACCAGCGATTATTTCTATCGGTTGTGTGCCACTACAGGGATCTTCCCTCTTTCCCCTTAACAGGGGGAATCAAAAGACATTATCGCCTATAATTATACTCTGAGATCTTTCTCTAACGATTCTCTCTGTCAATTCTATACAGGAAACTCCCCTCATCGCGTGAAACAACTGTTAATACGAATCTCTATTTATGTCAATAAGGGCATCCCCCAACTTAGAAAAAAAATTACTAATGATCACTCCTATTAGTGTAATACGGTGACCCAACCTCGGAATCAACATGGTAACCAAGGTTCGGCTTTCCTAACAGGTTTAGAGGGGTCCCTTTCTATCCCCATCAACAAGTATCTTGTCATCTTTGGCCTGCGCCACAGACCAAACTAAACCTCTGGTTAATTCCGTCTGTTAACCGAACAAGCGTCGAAATCCTTGTTCTGCTCCAACCCCCCCGCCCCACTGTGTACCAGGATTTGAGTGCGCGCCATGATTGGCCTCTTAAAAATGTTTTTCCGGCAATTCGTCGAGTCCTTTGGGGGTAGAACAAGGTCATCGGCGCTGTTTCGCAGACGTCACTAACACGGGTTGGACTACGCCTGCGACGTAGGCTACATCAAGTACTAGGATGTACGTGGGTCTCAACTCTATAAGGGGATTTCTTCACCCATAAGGACCTTGTTCCAACGTTGTGAAGAGGTCCACGGTTGCTTGTTCGCTCAACTCTCACCTTAATATTCCAGCCAAGAGGGCCAAACTTCTTCCTCTCCTGGATTATGGCATGGAAAAAGCATATACCGAACACGAGCTTACGCCACGTCACGCCAAGAACTGTCACGCAAAGACAAAAGACAAATGTTACAGGACTGGAGAGGATGAATCAATTACATTCCCTCATCAGTGGAATGTTAAACAGTAATCACGAGGGATCGACCCAATAATGTTATTGGCTGGTCACGCCTTTTTTTGTTACCTTTTGAGGTGTTCCGTGACAGGCGACAGAAGATGATATAAAAACATACAAGAAGAGTATGACGTGGTCTATTAGGATATAATGTGAAGGGAGAAGAGCGATATCTGAATTGGTGTTGCGTGTTGACCTGATGACGTGTTGCAGGACGAAAAACAACAATGCCCCACTGAAGAGTACCTAGTACTGGTTTGCACGTGACCTCACGGCGGCCATGTTGGTGGCCAAGAAAAAAGCATTTCTCTCCTCTGGGATCTAAACTCCATTTTCATGTAAATTCTTTGAAATAATTGTTATTGTTTTGACCACCAACATGGTCGCTGTCACATTGTTGCAAACCATGAATTGGTGAATTGGACTCCATGATGATAAACATTATATTATTATTATTATTATTATTATTATTATCATTTATGTATAACGCGATGAACAAAAAATGGTTTGTAAATGAGAAAACATCATCTTACTGTGGTTCTCAAAGGTATCTGTGCTGAGTTCTCCAAACGCTCTCTTTGCATTAGCCCTAAGCCCCTTGGGCGGTTCATTCGTGACTTTAACGCTGTTCTGTAACACAGTCACGGGAAAGCTCTTGGTCGGCATAGAGCTCAAAAACAAACGGAAGTCCTCGTGCACTTCCGCTTCCGGTGATGAGAGGTTCTTAATCGTGGTTTCCATAGCCAACATCCAGGAAGCGGCGAGATGACAGTTCTGAGAAAATACATGTATATAAGACAAAGAGGGCATGCCTTCCTGAGCTACAAGATTGCGTGAAAAAATATCGCGTCCATTTTTCTTAAAGCCAATCAGAGATTAAGCGAGACCACGTGATTTGATCACGTGAGTATTCTCACGGTCAGTTCCGGCTATGGCACTTTGTTCCAAGACCAAGTTAGGTTTTTGGATCCTTCTGTGATTTTCGATTGGGGATAGAGGTATTCATTTGATTTTATAACGGTTCCGGGTTTACACCGTGGGTAAATCTCTTTGGAATCCTTTAGCATCCATGATTTTTACACATTATTGTTTATCTCCAATGCGTGATTAATCATTATAATATACTAAGGACCTCAAGCAACGACGACGGCGACGACGACGGCGACGGCATTGTTTATGTCAAAAATGATAGGTTTGATTGGCAAAACAACAAATCATCACGCTTTTTTTATTTGTTACGACTAAAACGAAAAATGCCTAATTTCACGATTTGTCGAGGACGGGAACACAAAAAATTTTCTTCTTCACCTGAAGGAAACAACCCAGTCGCCAACATTTGACGAATTAAACCCGATGAAGTTTTAGCCGTCGCATTTGCAATCAAATCACCTGAAGGAAGACCCAGTCTCCCGTTTTAATCGCATTTGCGATCATTTTCTCTGCCACCGGTCCCTGACCTTGACCTAAAGAGATGGCCTGGACCCTAGAAAAGAATCAAAAAAAATTGTTGGCTCCTCACTGTGAAGACTTATGCTTGAAGTAAAATTAACTTCCTCCCTGGCAGAATTGGCTACAGTCAAAATGTGACAAAATTATAAATTTCATTTTGCAATACGCTGAAGCATAAAAAGTACGATATAAAGGTACGGTTGAAGAGGTTTCATTTGAATGGTCACAGGAAAGGATCTCCTCCACAGATTCACTCTGGAAGAGAAAACGTTAATAAGCTTCGCGATAATTGGCGAGGACAGCAAACAGCTGTCACCAAGCAGTGATATCATAGATTACAGAAATTACCCCGATGTATTAAACAATAACATAATAGTATTTATACAGTGGAACGATACCAAGTGCATATAGTGACTTTCTTTTCACCATTTCCACCGAAACCATAATGCACCTTCTTTAACCCCAAAATTTTACATGACCATTGTTTTCAATTTCTACTAGGTATTACAGTCATCCCAAGAGAAATCGAAGAAAATAATTATGCAAAATAGTTTTTTTCGTCGTTGGTTTTTGGCCTTGATGAAAATGGTGAATAAGGAGCATTTCAAACAATTTATCATCACGCTTGTCACAAAAGGTTTGCCGTCGTCATGCCTCTCCCGTCCTGTTGCGTAAGTTCACTAATAATGATAAAGACAGAACACCTTACCTTTCACTGTAACTCATTTCTCTGGCAAACCTAAGGAAGGCGTTCATAGGATCTGATCCAGTGGAAAGGATGAAGATCAACGGAGTGGTGGGCCCCACGTCAGCATATAGGATGTTTAAGTCAATTGAGGGACTCTCCACAAAAGTCTTGCCGAGATTTTCACAAACAAAATCCACAGATGCAAACACAACCTGCAAGAGACAAGGTCAGGTTAATTGCAGACGACCAGAGGAGAACGCAATCCTAATCCCAGGGTTGTCACTAAGATTTCAAGTTGCCGGGTAAACACAACAAGTAGGCGGGTAATCAAACGGCTAGGGATTTCTTTTGGTTCTATTTTTCTTCTGTTTTCCAATTGCCGGGGGCGACAAGCCGGGGAAAAGCGCAATGACAACCCTGTAATCCCTAGGTAGATATTACACACGGCGTGGCGCGTATCTAGCCAGCATTGCTTTGGACTTCCATTAAGAATGAATGAAATGCATTCAATGCAATCTAATCAGTCGTTGCTATCGCGCATCGCGTCGACGGATCGTAAAGTCACTGTTGTCTAATATTTTACCTTTTCCTCTCTAAACGCTTTCACCAACACCAAACTCTGAAAGCTGGTGAGTCGCTCTCCTAAACTGGGCTGTTGTTCTTCTTCCTCAGGTTCCTCTGTTGCTTCTGTGCTTTCACTTGTTGCTGTGGTTCTACCGTCATCTTTGCTTTCCGACAGCAGCGCGGCATTCGGACAAACCTACAATGAAAAAAAAGTCCAGTTAACTTTAATAAAAGCTGAATGGCTGCCATAGTAAACGAGTTATTATTTTACATTAGAATAAGATTGGGAAAGATAACGGCCAATTTGCAATGGGATGTTTGGAATTGTAAAAATACTACGTATTACCTCATAACGTCATTTCCCCGCAATTTTTCAGGGTCTTTCATATCATCGCTTTCCCACCATTTTCAGGGGTCACAAAAATCGGCACTTATCCCTGCCATTCATTAATAACAATAACAGTGTTTTACCGTTTTCTTTTTCATCGCAAGTTTGCAAAATTGTTTGCAGTTTTTTTCCTGTTATTTAACGCCCTGCAACATCGACATTTTTATCTCCTACTGCTAGTGTCAACAAATGTGAAGAAAACAACATTTTAATGGCTGCGAAAAAATCATAGAAGTTAAAGGATAAGGCAGGAAACCCTCTAGAGTAAAATATGACCCACTTACCTCAATCGATCCTATCTTGACGATAACAGGCTTACTGACTATTTCCTCCTTTAAACCACTGAAGGCTGGTATAGAGTCCTTCAAGAAAAAACAAGGATAAGAAATAATACTTAAAAAAATAATTAAAGAAATGAGTTAAGATTTGTCGTACTGAGTGTTTGACTTCTTGGTGAAAAAGATACCCGAATACAGTGAAATTCGTTTTGTTTTTAACTTTTTATTGATAGTCTACTGAAACTAGAAGACGTTGGGTTTCAACACCGTGCACTCTGGAGCGAATTAGGTAAGGCGTAGTTAGATCTCACGTTTGAGTCTGTGGATGTAATCCTAAATTGTGACCAATCAACCAATTGAGTCTGTTGAAGAGATCCTAAGATGTGTCAAGAAAGCAGTACTTTCACATGATGGTATTTCACACACACAACTGGCAGCCATGCCAAGCTGATGGCGCACCCGAGGTCTAGCCTGTGTAGCCGACGGGATCGTTAACGCGCGCAAAGGTTTAGCAGAAGAGCTGTCGGGCCGCGCGGAGGATAGGAATGATGAGCACGCTCCTCGCGGCCAGAACTATCATGCGTGCAGAAAAATTCCGCCAACCAAGAAGGCTACTTTTCCACATTCGTTGCACTCAACCAAAGGAAAAATTACACTTGCTTTTCAGTATTTTACAAACCAAATTGGAAGTACTATTGAATTTTGTCTTTGGCTATAACTGGGAGTGGAAAGATCACAAACCAAACGAACCTCCAAGTCACAGCAGGTATTCCACATGTGTTCAGTTAACCAGGGAATGTCGGGCTTCGCCGGACGTTCCTGTAGAGACAACGAAAAAGTGAGTGTCATAAATTTTGGCGAGAACAACTCAATTACTTTGTTGATTGTCCAAATTTAAGCTATGTGACGTTTTCAGAGGAATTGTTCTTTTTCTCTTTTCATATGTTATGCGTCCTACGTCCGTTTTGCACGTTTCCAACAGAGCTTGTATTCTTTTTTTAGCCTGCGAGCAAGCTCTCCGGGGCGTTCTGGCGGCGCGGCGGGAAAAGGAAGGAGAGCTTGCAACCACGCCTCTGGAATTTAAATTCCACCTCCAATTCCCCTGTGGTCCCCCGTCGACTGAGCTGTCAGATTTCCGCCAATCAGCGCCAAGCAGAAACGAGCGCAAATGTAAACAAACATTGAAAAACACGAGCCAAAGGTAATGACGTCATTACTAATGTCATCTCCGTCAATCAGCATTCCGCATCGTTTTTCGATGCAGATATTCAAATTCCAGAGACGTAATTTCAAGCTCTTCATCCTTTTCCCGCCTCTCAGCCAGAGCGCCCCGGAGAGCTTGCTCGCGGGCTTATTCTTTATGTGCCTCTACAGTCAAGTCAAAAACTACCGTCACGATATGTTGAGTATTAAACTATAAGGATGTTTTAGGATGGAGAAAATCAGCACGGTTCATAAACAACAAACTTGAAGAATTCAGATAAATTTTCATAATGTAGAAACTGTAATGTATCGCACCCCTGGTACGAAGAATTCTCACCTTATCTAAGCTTCCGCTACCTCTCAGGAAAAAATTCCATTCATTGTCAGATATATCTCCTCGTTGTCGCATGATCTCACCGCATAACATGAACGAAAACACTAACTTGTCCTTTTCAAACAATCCACTAAAAAGAAAGAAAAGATGATATACAATGAACAGAAGCAGAGGAAGATCAGTCAGAATGGCCAACGGGTTAAGAAGTAAACCATAAAACCCGGGAGGCACTCCCTATAATGACATATACGGGGCGGCTCTGTCTGCCCTAAAGGGGTGCCCTTTTCAGGCTTCAGGTGTGTGGAAAGGTAAGGACTTCGCTAGTTGAAGTATAAGAAAGCGGAGTAGGGACTTTTGTTATTTTGGTCTGTAAAAAAGCCCAAAAGGTCTTGCAGATGCATTTTATGGCTGTGAAAAAGTCGATAAAACGTTCTGGTTTGAGGTTTATTCATATATTAAAGAAAGTGCATTTACAGCAGTTAAAAGGGATGCAAAGTTCAAAACTAGGTATGTGAAAGTAGTGCTATTAGTCAATAGAAGGTAAACGAAAGGGGTACCTTTTCTGCCAAAGGTGGTATGTAAAAGGGTAAGGGGTTGGACCTCGGGGCGGAACCTCCCCGTATAAAACTATACTGAGTTGACTCTGTGCGATGACTGGAAGTAAAGTTAAAGTTAATCAAGCCTAACTTGTCTTAGGCCCATTTTCAAGTGCCAAGTGGAAAGCCAAATTTCTCCAGACAGATGCATCTCAGATCTTTTTTATTTGATACGCAGTTTATTCAACGCACCTTTGCCATTAGCCAGAGTCTCCAGTGTAAGGAGTAACCGGATCATGTATAGACATGCCAATGAAAACACTCACCGAGCCACGTTTGTGTACACAGACTTGGTACAATTGGTAAGAAGGATCTGAAGTCTCCTGTCCAAATCATCTGTCTTCTCGCTGTTCTCAATACACGTGTTAAACAACTGAAACAAAAATATATAGTAAACCATTAAACACTGTAAAGTGTTAGTGTGTTTCACAACACGAAGAAATACCAGAGGAAAGTGTTTTAATTTTTGCGTCCAAATCCGGGGTGGGACCACGATGAATAGTTACACGATAAGATTTCATAAGCAAACTTATCGAGCTCTTGAGAACTCGTAAACATGTGTTCGAGCGTTACATTTCGAACTGGAACTTGAAGTGATCATTTCACAGAGAAGCCGAAAAATGGAACCTTGCTCAGCAAGGACAAAAACAAACAAGAACTCAAGCCACATATGGCGTCACATCCGGGATTCGAACCCAGGTCATCCGGATTTGAAGGCAAGTCTTTCACGTTTGCACAAACATCGCTTCCTTTTTTCTTACAGACTCAAAGTTAGAGCTATATCGACAATGTGGTCATAACAGGCTGAAGGGGTGTAAGGATTGGATCAATTTAGGTTTTTGGGAAACTGCCCACCTACCCCTCCCCTAAGCCAACAAGCCCCTAAGTGAGAAGTAAGTGATAATGTTGGCTTAGGGGAGGGGTAGGTGTGAAGTTTCTCTGAAACCTAAAAATGATCCAAACGATTTCCTTTACCTGTTTGAAGTATTTTAGTGAGTATTGGTACATGGAATCCACTTCAGCCATGCTGGCAACAACAAAGTACATAACAGAGCCCCTGGTGGCCACAGGACGGTACTTCTCACGAGCTAGAGTAATCTTCTCCTCAGTCATCTCGGCCTCTTTCAGCCGAGTGCTAATTACTCCGGAAGTGACCTGGGGAGAGAAAACAAACGAAAAGTTGGGTCATATCAAATCAAAGAAAAATTCCTAAAAAGGCAGGCAACATACCAGTCGGCTATTTACAGGCATCATGGAGGAAATGAGTGCGTGACAACTGAGAAACAACTGCAGCTAGTAATCAGACTGGATATCAAGCCCGAAATACTCGGATTTCAAATCCGACATCCCCCACCCCCCAGACTCGGTTACGTTTCCAGTCCATTCCCCTTTCTCTAACCCAACTCCAAATTAACTCTGTCACTTCCAGGCTACGTTACGGCAAGATTATTTGACACTCCAACATTTAAACCTGTCGACGAAATCGTATGGTGTTACCACTCAAATGATACCTCTTGGGCAGAATTTTTAGATAGCAATATTCATTTCCCAGCATTTTAATTACAAAAATAAAATTTGAATTATTTTGTGAGATAAATGTACGGAAATTCTTTAACTATTCCCTTTAATATATCCAAAAAGACAGGGTAGTGGAGTTTGTTGTTTTACGGGATAATAAAACGCGAGGAGCTGCTTCCTATCGCTGTCATTTTTGAAGAGGTTCGGGGGACGCGATTTCCTCCATACCTTTGACTCATTTAGAGTGTTGATAAGCACTTCATCATCCAAGATGTTTCCTTCTGAGTGAAATAGCAGTTTCAGAATCCTGTCTTCGATGGCTTTTAGTTGGTTCTTGTCGGAGTTGATTCGCACAATCAACTGATTCCTCTGATCTTCAAGATCTGGCCTCTCGAGACGAACAACATCGCTAAATAGATAAAACAAATTATTATTCATACGAAATATTTCTCCGTTTCTGATTGTCCAAAATCACACGCATAATTCATCATAACGAGCTACTTTTGACCACATTTGGAAGAATTTTGCCATATTGAACCGATGACGTCAAAAGTGCAGCAAAGTTGCATATTATTCAACCGTTAACCGAGAAAATCTGGGGACGAATTTGAGTTGCTTTCGAAGAGAGTAATGGCGAAGTGAGTAATGGCAGAACATTTTACTCGTTTCACGGCGAACTATTGTCTAAAAACATTGATGGCAACAAGACAACTCGACAGACGACATCTGCTATTTGGAGTGTATTCTTTTTCCCGTTTTCGATATCGCGATTTCGTTACTCGTTTTGTATTATGAGCAAGTCTACCCATAATCTTAGCAAGGGCTAAATCCACTTGGACGAGTACATGACAAAATCGACTACAGTCAAGCCTGTATATAACGGCCCTGTATATAGCGGTCACCCTGGATACTACGGTCACTGGACAACTTCCCAAAATTTTCAGTTGCCTTATATTTTCTGCAAAGTTGACCTGTATACAGCGGTCACCCCGTCTATAACGCGTTACGGCCACCTTGCCATTTCCCAAGCGTGACTGTTGTACACAGGTTTGACTGTATAAGGACATATTTCTCGCTGATGACCGCGCCCTACCTTAGTAGCTGGTCCTCTAGTCCTGATTTGGTGACAGTAAAATTGATGATGGTCACCTTGATGCAGACCTCCGGCAGATAGTGAGGGTTTGCAAGTTTGGTGGTCATGTAGAATCTGGCAGGGAAGGAAAAAATAAACAAAATCAGAGGACACGAGAGACCTTGGTAAACGCGACGATGATTCAATCAATGGCACTTTAACCACCTCCGGTGACAACTTTATTGATGGCCAAAGTGATATCTAACCATTCACACGTGCCTGCATTTAGCAAAACTTGAGGATTTTTCATTACTGTTAAATTTGTTTGAAAGGATCTAACCAATACTGATTGAGCTTGGTTATACAAACAGAGCAAATTAGTAGCCTCATTAATTATTTATTAGTCAAATTAAAGCCACTTAAGCCCTTTAATTTAGGGGGTAATTTGTTAAGTAATCAGATAAAAAAAATAACATACTTGAAATTCTTGTCGTAGTCAATATCACTATCACCCAGACGAATCAACATACGGCCCCCCTGCAAAGGATGACATAAACAGACTTAATAAGATAATGATGATGATGATGATGATGATGATGATGATGATGATTGATGGTGGCCATGGTGATGGTTATGATGACGAGATGATGGTGATGATGACGATGGCGATGATGATGATGATGATGATGATGATGATGACGATAACGCAGTAACTGCTGTAAAGAAATATCTTGAGAGGTCAAACAAGGTCCACCGAGATGATACAAATTTAGTTTATTTCAATAAAGCATATTGGTGTTGCATTGACATCGTGAAAAGAAAAACTGTTTTTCTTACACAGGAAAAAGGTTTGGACCCGAAAATCGTATTAGTAGTAACACATTTACTTCAAATTTTTAGACTTCACCAATGCAGATAAACATTTATCAAAGTTTGAAAATCATTATAAGTTGAGCATTTCGTTGAAAAAATATTAACCCTTACAAGCTGCTAACGGTTACTGCTACCTACCTGAACAAAAGTCTGTTTCAGTAGAATCGGTTCCAGAGCCGGATCCAATGTCTCACCAACTTCTTCAAGTAGCACAGGCATACCAATACGAATACAGTTCTCGAGCGTGCGCAGGAAATTCTGGTCAGTTAGTTTGATCACTTTGAGTCCATTCTTAGCTTCTTTCGCTCGGATCCAGCGATTGGCCTGTTTTATGATCAAATAGATGCAAATGGCAATGCAAATGTAATGTACGTGGATGCAAGTAGTATAGGGCGCACCGGTTAGGCCTCTTTTTTGAGCAGGAATCTCATTAGCGTGAGCAGGAATACATTAACACCGATGACGTCATAGGCTATTGTCCTCATCTCATGAATAAATTCGGTGGATTTAATTAAGTATACTGGTGACTTAAAATCACTGAGACGTAACGTAATTATGCACTTCCTATTTCCTGCTGCTGTGATTGTCCTTGTTCCGGTTCACTGATTTTTGGCGGGCAAATCGTGTATATTAAAGAGGGTAAAGGCAAACTAGCTCTTTTTTACACTGCAAGCAATGTTTTACTTACCCCTCTCCTTTTCATTTTTTATTTTCCTCCTCCTCCACAATTTTATTATTTTCCTTCCTCAAATTTTTTATTCCCTCCTACTCCTCCTCCTTCTCCTCCTCCTCATTTTTTATTGTTTTCCCTCCTCCTCCTCCTCATTTCTATTGTTTTACCTCCACCGGTGCGCCCTATACTACTGATGCACCGTAGTATTATAGGGCAAATTTAAGTCAACGCTTTCTGAACGAACAGTTCTACAAGACAAATACCTATAGCCTGCGTCCTAGACGTAATTTAACCCCGGTTAGTAACGTCTGCGATGTAGTGCTGATATTCTTTTTCTGGGCCCCAAATGGACTCAACGAATTACTGAAAGAGCGTTTCGAATTTCCCTTCAACCTGATTGGCTAATCAACGATGGTATTTTTAACAGGCAAATCATGGCGCGTACTCAAATCCGGGTACACAGTTGTGGACATTGAACAAGGATTTCGGTGCTGTTTCGCAGACGCAGTTAACCAGAGTTTAGTTTCGTATTCTTTGACACTCTCAACAGCAGGCATCTCTCTAAGACGGACAAATAGCGCTGGTCCCGATGTTGTCCTTCTCAGAGTGAGTTGAATGTGTTCGTTTTTAAATTACAAAAAAAAAGTTCCCGAAAAATCCATTTGGAAGGTAAATGGAACTCGACTAACTGAGTCGTTCCACTGGAAAGTTTCCAAAACTTCCTCGATCTCCATAATTCTTCAGATGATACCCAGCCTCAACCAATAATTGTTAATTATGTCATTTATTTTCCCTGAGTGACTGACCTGATCTTGAGGGTCAATCATCAGAGGCCACCGTCGTCCTCTTGTTACCAAGATAGCGTTCTCAATGGACACCTACAAAGTGCAAAATGTAAAGCAGTTAGTAAAACACACCCCAGTGATTTATTATGCAAGATAAGTTGTTGTTCGTTTCCCCGAAGTCTCTATAACACTTCCTCGAGAGAACAGTGGCGTTCGACCCAAGGGTCAGTAGAAAGTGAGAAAAAAAAAGTGAATACAGGTATAAATAAACTCACCATTTGCACATAGGCCTTTAATGCACCTATATTAACCCTCCCAAACCTTGCATAACCATTGTCTTCGATTTCTCTTGGGACGATTGTAATACCCAGGAGAAATTGGAAACAATGGATATGAAAAAGTCTAAGGGGGGGGGGGACAAGGTGTATTATGGTCTATGTGAAAATGGTGAATGAATAAAAATAAGCGTACAGTTAAGGATATGCCCTCCACCGTTATAGGAGGGTGAAAATGGAAAGGTGGTAGTTGTTGCTTTTATACAGGGTCATGACGTGATAAACTATCGACTAATGGAGAGGATTTGCAAAAACGTTTGGAGACGACCTTCATCCCTCCTCTACGGAGACAGCGTGGCCGCGCGGTGAGAGCAGAGGAACCTGCAATCCAGAGGCCCCGAATTCAACTCCGCCCTATCCACGTTCATATGTATGCATAATTCATGATGAGACAAAAACATCACGTGGTCTGAATTGGGAAAAAACAAAACATACAAGCTGAAAAAGTCTTTGTTTTGACCCAGATAACAGTCGCTTTTTTTTGTTTGATTTGCTCAAGTTCAGTATTACTTACTGGATCTCTGGGTAGGCCATCAGCATTCCACTGTCGAATCTCAAAAGGATCAGCCAGGACATTGATGAGACTGAATTCATCCGATACAGGAATCCCCAGTTCTTTGCAGCGCTGTATCCACGATGAGATAAGCTCATTGCGGTATAGACTCGTAAACGCACCAAAGTACGCTACACAAGCTGCCGCCACAAACACATTTCCAACCACATTACCGATCTCTAGCTCAAACGCCTAGAAAAAATGAGAATAAATGAACGAATTAATAAACAGATAAATAAATGAAAATAAATGAAACATTATTCTGGACTTCAGAGGTAGTTCATCGCTGTAATTACCTGATGAGTGTGGTCATTTCTGACCATACGAAACAATATTGTCGCAATAGAGCGTTTTCACTCGCGTGGCCAGCATCTATGCTAATTTATTGGAACAAAAGAAAGTTTTTACATAAGAAAAGAATTCAACTCCCACAGGATTGTCTTGGTACACCAATATGGCCGCCGTTCCATTGTTTTGGAACACCAATATGGCCGCCGTGACGTCATGTGAAAACGCTCTATAAGGCGATGAACTACCTCTTAAGTCTAGAAGTTATTGCTCCTGTAAATTAAAGTTGAGCACTCTAGGAAATTGTTCTTCCAACTGAAACCAGAATTTGCAAATAAATGAGTAAATATATGAATAAACATCTTGGGAAAAACAACAACAACAGTATTGCCAAATGCGTTTAACGTACTGCAACATTCTCAGTCCAACGTCCTTGTTCGTCTCCAAGAGCTGTAGTTAGTTTGGACGCTCTCTTCAGCCGAGCCGCCGTCTGGGCAATATTCTTGGTTAACGTTTCCTTCTCCGCTATGCTATTGTCGTACGCCGCTTGGAGCTCTGCAATCTAATAACACCAAATAATGGAAGTCAAAAAGAGCAACAAGGCTGTGGTTGACCTTGCTTTGACGCAAACCTTCCTGTTTTATTATGTAAATCATGTTGTTCTTATGCTAAATAGTATTTTTCTGACCAAAATTTGCATTGGAAAACAAAGAGGTTTGTCGCTGTGGCTAATGACGGCGTTATATGTTGTAAAGGGGTTCCTTTACATTTTGAGCTGGTCTTCCCGTTGTTCGCGAACTCTTCGTAAGACTTCTACCGCACTTGCTATGCAAACCGTCAAAATAAATAACCGAAATTCCAAAAGATACCTTTTCCTCAACAGCTGCCAGACTGTCTTGCTTTTCTTTGAGGGTCGCCATAACAGCATCCAGTTCAACTTGTGCTGCAGCAAGTCTAATAAAGAAAATGTGATATGAACATGGGATTATTTTTTACGAGTTACTAATTATAAAGTACAAAAGCACCCATAATCCCCAGGATTTCCAGCGAAAACATCTCTGCACTAAACGCTGTTCTTCACAGCCCCTTCGAATCTATAAAATGCTCTGCAACCATTACCGCTGATCAAGAAGGCTCACGGGCTCACAACAGGAGTCACGTGACTGTATTAAGAAGGAGAACACTCTAAGATATAGAAATACCTGGATGTAAAACATCCTTTTAAAAAGAACTTAGTACACCAAAAATGCACTGTGGCAATCAATATATAAATCTTCGGCGTGAAGTATCCTCTTTGGTATTGTACACAAAATACGGAATAGGTCGTTGCCTTTGATCTGTCAGAATACGGCCGGCGTCAAGCAAAAAATGGTTAGCCCCTCGCGCGTCTTTCGCGCTTCTTTCGCTGCACTAAAAGGAAACGGAACCGTGTGCTACGCAGGCTGCTAATAACTGAGAAGAAATACGGGAAAATTTAAACTATTTTATAAAATACACTGCTATTGTTGCCGGGCGACAACATTGAGGTTTAATCTATTTACAGTAGAACAAACCTCTTTTTCTTGGGCTCCACTGTGCGGTAAACTCTTGCATACAAGTCCATGGCTCTGACCCACATAACCATGGAACGACAAGCCTGAAAACAGGAAACCAATCATTAATCACCAAACCTTTAGGTTTTGGACCAAAAGAAGCGAATATGCAGATGGTGACAGTGATTCTTTTGATGTGAACAAAACGGTACAAGTCACAAATCGGGGTAAAAGTGGTGAAGTATTTCTACACACAATAGAGAGTTTTAGATCCGAGTTTACCGCGAACCTCTAACCGCTGGAGGTCACGTGACAAGTCTTTCGCGTCACGTTTGAGGTTTACAACGTGCGTTTTCAACGTGGGGAGCTGAGTTTTCACGTATGTCATTTACCTGAAAGCTTTTAGCGTATAATTCTTGTTTCATCTCACGTAATGATACAAAAATCTTGTGGAGCAAGTCTTTATACATTAACAGAGGCACAAATTCGGGCGAAATGCTAAATTTGATAAATCCTATTGGATCTTGAAAACAAGTGCCATTCATGGCTGCTGATTCAAAATGGCGGCCGTAAAATTGCAAGAAGAACTAATGTAAGAATTTACAGCTCTTTGCTGCTAGATAACCCAGTGTTGCCGTAAATTTCTTTTTTATTTTCACTGATTAATTTTTCCTCTATTTCTAAATGGAAAAATAAACCAGAATTCACTTGTTTAATCCACCGCCAATCTAAATCGAATTATGTTTGAACGTCGAACCGCAAACGGGTAGCCGCAAACCGCGGTTAGAGGTTCGCGGTAAACTCGGATCTAAAACTCTCTAATAATAAAAACAAACTGCTTAGAGGAATCAAGAGCCCGGTAATACCTGACGTTTCCAGAGCTTCAGAATTACAGTTAAATGAAAAGTTCACCTTTTTTAGTTTATCAACGATGACGGAGGCACAGAGAAAAGAACTGGTTTGAGCTAATGGCCCAAACATTTCCACTCAAGTGTTTCGGTAAACATTCATAAAAACAAAACGGAATTTCTGGCGTTTGAGTGGATACGAATTAGCCGGAAATGAAATATTTCTGCGGCACGGGAGCAGTGGGGACTGGGGCAGTTGAAGTGCAGTATGGGTAGAATGGAGCACTATAAAAGGGATGCTTATCACGTGGAAAAGCAGATGCTTATCACGTGGAAAAGCATTCTAGGCCAACACCAGAAGTGTTGAGCGAGCTTCAAAGCACGAGGTCGCGCAGCGACCGAGCGAGCGACGAAGTCTCGAGTCCTTTAAAATGGCATAACCAACAAGGGAAAAAAATTAAGGACTTTTGGGAAGTCTAGGTAGCAGTCTACACGGTCGGTGATTTTTTTTCACTAGGAAATGGCTGTAGCTAGATGTCTTTACTCACCTTCGAAACTTTCTCCACGTTTTCTGGTGTAAACTTGGGGTTTTCGATGTATTTTTTCAGCTTTTTAAGCATTGAGTCAGGAATGTTATCCTAAAATATAAGGTCATCAGGAAAGTGGTCAAAATCCATCCATCGACCTTATGTTTAGACGTTTTAGCATGTGGCATTCTACAACAATAAACTCAAATAGCAGACTACTTATTTATCACATTAACTCACACTGTAAAATTCTGTAGCTTAGCATAATAAACGGTACCACAAGAAAGTGCTGCTCAGTAGCTTTTATTTGAACGGTCACACTTTAGGATTTCACCCACAGACTCAAAAGTTAGAAGCACCTTGTACAGCGTAATAAACAGTACCACAGGTGGGTACCGCACAGCAGCTTTCATTTGAATGGCCATACCATAGGATTTCATCCACATACTCAAAAGTTCGAACATCTTTGTACAGCATAATAAACAGTACCACAGGAAAGTACTGCTCAGTAGCTTTCATTTGAATGGCCACACCATAGGATTTCATCCACAGACTCAAAAGTTAGAACATCTTTGTACAACATAATAAACAGTACCACAGGAAAGTTCTGCTTAGTAGCTTTACTTACACAGACTTATTCCTTTCACTTTCAGTACTTTTGATACCTACCTTATCATATTCCATAAGTTTGGACAAAAATTTAGCATCTCCTAGAATGCCTTTGGCTGTTGCCCAGTCAGGTCTGGTGTCAAAACAAACATATGTACAAAATAAAAACCTATGCAATAACACAGAGGCAGTTGTAACTGATTTTCGCCCTCAGTTGTGGTGGGTATCGCGTCGGGTGTTTTAACGATCCTAACAGAGTCTATGAGAAACGAATTTCCATCGTACTTCGAGGCGTAGCCTTTAACCTCTTATTACTGCTTACCAGCCTACTCTGTACTGTAAAACAGTGTTAAGTGTAGACGAATTCCTTACCCTCCCCACCCTCAAGGAAAAACTGCGTAACATACTTGGAATTTAGTAGAATGCAAATAGACTCCATAACAGTCATGACCAGCTCTGGGGGATTGGTGAACACACGTAACTCTGAGATGTCCGATTTGTCCAAAGAATCCAAGGCCTGGAGACGAGAGAAATAAGTAACACGTGAGTATGCTCGTGGAAAAGTCGGAAAACCACCTCTGAGTTTGAATCGCTTGTTTCGAGCCACAATTAAGTCTGTCCTTAAAGTGGATAAATGCCACGAAAGATTTTATTTATCATTGTATGTGTATAAGAGGGCTCGTTTATCGTTTGTGTTACGATAGTCGCTTGATTATTGATCGCGACGTTTCAAACGCGTACTGTAGGAGTTAAAGTGTATAAAGTTTTAATAAGATCAAAATTCACCAAGAAAGAATACCAATAGCATGTGTACAGACGCCCCCTCTTCTCAAATAAAATCGGGGAAAGAGACGTCTGTGTCACGCCGCCGTTAATCGTCTTCTGGTTTCTCTAGAATGAAAGGAAAGCCTCTGATTGGCTGCTATGTTAATGCCGTTACGTAAGAAGCTTTCAGTGTTGTGACTGGTGAATGAATCACAGAATTCCCTGGGGAAAGCCTCAGCGTTCGTTCGCTCACATTCGTTGTCCCCGATTTTGTTTGATAGGAGGTTTCTATACAAGGGTTAAATACCAAGAATGTTAAACTGAGCGTAAAACAAAGAAACAGGCGGGGAGTTATAAAGCTTGCATGTAATATATCAAACATGAGATGCAGTGTTTCATCACCAGATGAAACACCGAGAAGAGAGTTGAAAATACGACGCGCAGCGGAGTATTTTTGACGAACTTCGAGGTGTTTCATCTGGTGATGAAACACAGTGTCGAATGTTTGATATTTCTTCTCAAACAAAATCATTTTTGAAGGAGAAATTAAGGATGCAAATACTAAGCAGTGTTTCATCCGATTTCCAAACACTCATTAAACATTAATTTCCTTTGTATTTTCTTAATGAATTATTAATGAGTTTGAGAGAGTATCGTCACAAACGTTTTCTTGCATTTTTTCCCTCTCTCACCTTTTGAGCGGCATCTAGTGCGGGTAAAGCCTCGTCCAAGTCTTTCTGTGCTTCGGCTGCGATAGCCTGGGTCTCATCTGCCTTTCCCTTGGCAACTTCCTCTTCCGCTGACACAACTTTACGGACCTACAACATAATTACACGGATGAAAACGACTATAAATAAAGGCAATAGCTGTGAGGTGTGCGGGAAGCTGTTATCAAGAGTTATGTTTCGACAGTTTGTGCTGACATTTTACCGTCGTTGTGGGCAAGTGGGGTCCGATGATTTAAGCGACGACGAACACAAGGCCACTGAAGATTTGCTGGTCGATTGCGGGAGCTATCTTTTTTTTCTTTCGAGAGTCAGCGTTCGTATCTTTTTTTGAACAAAAAACTCGAGGACTTTTCAAGGACTTTCAAGAACACATTTCCTGTTTTTTAAGGACTCCATTTAGCGCAAAATAGAGCCTTGAGTCCATATCCTTTTTAGTTCTTCCACAACATGAGTAATTTCATCCCGAAGGTCTTTCTGTGTTTTCTCCTTTTTCTTTGGATGTTCTACTTAAACTATAAAGTAAGCATTGAAATTCAACGACTTTCCAGCACCGACTGCAATTTTCAAGGACTTTTAAGGACTTTCATGGTGGGTGCGAACCCTGGAGAGTAGTACTAGTGTCAATAAATAATTCTCCAAGTCACACACCTTATCAGCTTCCTCCTGATCTGTCTGAAGTTTATCCATGAGCTTTTCTACATCAAGCGACTTTTGCTTCAGTTGAGGTTCCAGTGCTACTAGCTCAACTTGCATGTTATCCACAAGATCATTAGTTTCGAGAAGCTTCTTCAAGCCGTTTTTCACTCGGTCCCGCGCGCCAATCAGCTGCCTGGAAAATTAGTAATTGACATTATAGTGAGTGTTTAGTGCTCCTTTTTTTTAAATAAAGTACTTAAAAACTACAGGCACTGTGGGTGGCCAAAAACTCTTGTTAAACAATAAAAATTTTTACGCCCAAAACAAAAAAGCATTTCTTTCAAACGAATTTTGCCTTCCTCTTGCTTCATAAGGGCTGACCCGCACTAGCGAAAAAGCTGTATATTTAGGCAAATTTTCTGTCATCACCAACGCTTAACAAATACAGTTGGTTTGTCGCGATTTTACAAATCTTGTCCGAGACGGGACAATCTTTAAAGGCACCGCGAACAAAATTTGTCCCAGGTAAAAACTGGACTAGCTTGTTCCAGGATCCGAGATAATCGGATCCTGAGAAAGCGCGAACACGAAAATAAAATGGCCACCGCCACCGCCACCGCCACCGCCACCGCCACCGCCACCGCCACCGCCACCGCCACCGCCACCGCCACCGCCACCGCCACCGCCACCGCCACCGCCATCGCCACCGCCATCGCCACCGCCACCGCCACCGCCACCTTTTCCAAAATCACGCGCTTATATTTTCGAGCGCCTTACACTTAAGCGTCATCCATACTATCTGTGAGCCTGGAACAGGCTAAAACGACTGGACAAAATCCACTAAATAAAAGTAAATGTGTTTTTCTTTTCAATCATTTGTTGTCAAGCCATTATTCGTTCCATCAACAAATGCAAGTATTGTGACATGTAACAACCTAATAAGAGTTAATAGAGCGTCCTCATATGACGTCACGGCGGCCATATTGGTGCTCCAAAACCATGAAACGGCGGCTATGTTGGTGTACCAAGAAAATCATCCAGGAGTTGAACTCTTTTCTCACGTAAATGATTTCTTTTGTTCCAGTAAATTAGCATAGATGCTAGCCACGTGAGTGAAAACGCTCTATAGTTTCCAGTACGGATACATTTTTCAAAATAAAAATTGTTACCACACAATTTTTGGTTTGGATTTTTCAAAGACAATTCCAAATTAGTCTGCTAGTGCCGATAGGTCCTAAGCAGAGTAGTAAATTACCTTCTCTTTTCGTCCAACATGCCCAAGTACAGGTTAATAAGCTCCAGGTAACTGGTGGGAGTCGTGTAATATCGTCGTCGCAACTCAGCGTAAAATCTCTCGGCCATGGAACTAACACTTGTGTGGATCTCCACACACATCTCAGCCACTCTGTCCTGCAAAGAATACACCACGACTTTTTAGCCTTAACAATACAGTCAACTGAGAGTTGAGCGAGGTTCAACTTTTACGTTAGTATACGCGCGACCTTCATACATTGCCTCTACTTTACGCGCGTAAAATTTATGTGCGTACGCACCGAAAAAAATTACGTGACAGTGGAAATCCACCTTAATTGCGTGCTCGATTGACGCTCTTCCGGAATAGGAATGTACAGAAATGGTGTTAAAAATCTCCTTTTACCAGGTATCTTGGACCACTTAAAAGCTGCATGCATAATAATACTGTATTTGAACTACATTTGGAGAGGTTACAATCCGACGATTTGCCTAAACAGGTGATTTGTAGGGCGCATTCAATTTCTTCTTATTTTGGTCAAACAAACGCGCCTTAGTCATTAGAGACCTTTAGCATCAGGTTTTTCATGGGAAACTGCAAACCACTAACCTAACAAGGTGCATTATGGTCTCGGCGAAAATGGTGAATTAGCGCTTTTGCTGCTGACGCTGACTGATTTCTGTGTATTTCCTTATGAATAAGTCAGCATTTTTTCTTTGATGATCATTTTATTTATTCTCATAAATTTTTCCCTTGATAAGGTATTAATATAGTTAGGAGAAGATTGATGTTGGTTACTCTATGGGAATTGAAGGGTTAAGCCGTTAGTTTAAAATACAATGTACGTACCTTAACATCACCAGCACCCAAATCCACTTCCTCAAAAAAGTTCTGCGATACCGAAAGAAGCGCTTCTCTGGAAGAAAAGGATCGCATTTTTTCAACATCTATCTTATTAGGAGAACCTGAACAGGAGACTACAAAAGTCACTTATTAATAAGCCTCATTTCGACTAGCAGTTCACGATCAGGCTTTCGTTGACAAGTTTTCCTTTTATCAAAGGTGGAAAAAATACAGTAGACACTCGCTTATTACAGACAGTTTTCTCTCTTTCGACGACAAGCCATATTGTCGAGAAGTTATGCAAACTTCTAGAAACTGTTCAAATTCAGTTCGCATCCCTGTTTAGCACGTGATCTTGCTTGGCCTTGTAAGAGGGCTGCCCCCCCCGCCCCCCCCCCAAAATCGCGCATTTTGATTGGCTAATTTATAGCGTTGTTATGGTGAAGCGTTAGCCTTGTAAAACTCACATTGGCCACTCAGGCCATGTCCACACGAATACGGACATTTTGAAACCGCATATATATTTTTTTATCTTGATTCATGTGGATAGGATAAGCCTTAACCGCTTTGGAGAGCAATTTAAAAACGATACGGTTACAGTGACCGGATTCACTGGTTTCGCGTTGACAGAAGGCGGATTCGAGTAAAAAGGAATGCGGTTTCAGAAATATGGAACATTCGCCCATCAAAAACATTCGCGCTTTTTGATTGGCTAAATTGTTGCGTGGCCCAGTAAGAGGTGTAGCGACTTTTGAAAACTTACGTTTCTGGTAAACTGCCTACCTACACCTCTCCTAAGTCAACATTTTGCCCTAAGTGAGAAGTAAGTGTTAATGTTGGCTTAGGGGAGGGGTAGGTGGGCAGTTTTCCAGAAACGTATAATGATCTAAACTTACCTTGGCCACTCAGTGAACCAGTCAATGGTACAGCAATTGACAAGTGAGGGAAACATACGACAGCGAGTACGGAAAGCATCCCCCACAGGACTCATACACAGTACGACATGAAGGTTGTTACGAACTCGGCTGATAAAGTGGTTGAACACAGCATCTCTGCAAAACAAAACCATAATAAGAATATACAATGCCAAAAAAACTTTGTTCGCAAAACCTTGCTCGGCTGTAAAGGGCGAGCAGTATAAATAAAGGGAAACAAGCCAATAGGCAAAACAAGAAAAACATCAAATTTCATTTTCAACAGTACTGAAAAGCAAATAGTACTTATTTCAAAAATGTACTGCTGGGAACTTTTATTTGAACGATGACATTATAAAATTCCAACCATGGGCTTCAAATTTTGAGTGGAAATTGAATATCTCTTTTACTATTCAACAGAACACTTAACTACGACATTCGCCGCAATATTTTCGTAATCACACCCAGTGAACTTTCCGACATTTCCGACCGTTTCCGGAAATTTAACGAAGACTTCCGAAAGCTCTGAACCTGTCCAAACATTTCGAAGGCAAGAATATCAAGAGAAGCAGTTTTTGTCGAAAGAGTTTGAAATTTAATAAGAGCAGATGATCGTCTAGTGAATGTATAAGAAATAAAAACAAATTCACAGACGTCAATGGCGTCAAAAGGTACACTTCTAATTGACAGCTGTCACTCAAGCATTACCTGTCGCCTTCAGGGACTCCTGCCTCTTTTGCGTGTGGTCTGGTTCCATTCAAAACTTGTTCATATTCTTCTGCTTCAAACAAGTTTGGTACCTAAACAATTAAATCTTTTTATGAGAACTCTTAGACTTGTACTCTTATTGCGGGCGACAAGTTAAACTTTAACCTTGGTTTCTTTTCTTTTTTATCAAAGCCTGCAATCAATCATCAATTGTAGGCAAAGAGAATTAAACTGAATATTATTTTTACGCAAATGCAAATTTCGCAAAAAAAAAAAAAAAAAGTGAATGGAAAACGCAATCGTTTGGACTTCCCTCGCCGGAGTTGAAAATGAATTGAATTGATGTCTTCAAAGTTTAGCCTTGTCTTTAAGATTTAAAGACACTCAATAAAATTCTTCGAGTTCAACAATCTCTTCAAGGAATTCTTCGACAACAATCTGTCGTAAAATGGAAGGACAAGGGGGAAAATAAGAATGAAAACAAATTGAGCAGTTTACAAATATCTGGTCCACCGAGTGTAAAAGAGAATAAAGTGTTGAACCGTTACGTATTTTAAAACATGAATACAGGTTAGGGAATACAGCGAAATATCAAATGTTATCTACCTGCGTGTCGGTGAATAAGAACACTGTATTTTTTCCCTCCACTCCAGCTGAGTTATAGAGTTTTTTGAGGTCTTCTCGGAATGCGGAATAGTCATAGCCGCGAGTCAGCTCGATTTGGAAGCAGAGATAGCCAGACATGTGACAAGCCAACCTAACGGTGTAAGCAAAAACGGTTTAAGTCGATAGTATGACAACAATGTTAATGAAATTTGCTTAGATTAAAATACATTTTAACAAACCGTCTTACCTCGTTAAACTTTGCTTTCCGGTGCCTCCGACACCAACGAGCAATGCGTTTCCACGAGGCTGACGAACCATACGCGCAATTCTATGAGCAAAAATTGAGGAAAACGGGTTACAAACATAACACTGACAGAGGAGAGTAGGCTCTAAAAAACCGGAGCAGCGCATGTTTTACACACCCGCCACAGTAAAGAACGCCATTTCTAATAGACTCACCTTGAAACGTGCTCTATTGCATCCATGAAGAAAACCAACTTCATCTCTTTCGAAGAGTTCATGTTGTAGTCATCAAGGTACTGAAGAGCGAAGAGGTAGAAGAGTTTCAGCAATAATTGGCAAAGCCCTTGTGGGGTAGAAGCAAGCCCTTGTGGCGTAGGCAAGCCCTTGTGGGGTAGAAGTTTAGTAGAAGTTTCTCCCCCGCGGACGGTCTAACCTTAAGTCTGCCTAAGAATTGTCCTATTTGCAATTTAACAATTTCATTGCAACGTATGGAAAATAAGTGCCTAGGATGTCAAGGGCATACACTGTGAGCAGAGGGACCCTTGAGCTGTTGGACCCCCATGACAGGCAATACTGGCAACCCAGCCGCGAGCCCCTATAGAGTCAGGCGCCTGTTACACTGTGTTAACACTGGAAAAGAAAATGGTTGGGAAGGGATGTGCAGAATGAAACGATGAATGAACACACACCGCAAAAGACGTCGCTACACTGAAATACGCTTCAAACACTAACCACAAAGAGTGCTCATTGCATGCCCTACAAAAGCTGCTGCTGAAGGCATTAAAACCTATTCTAAATGTTTTAAAATTCTAGTTGTAATTTTCCTTGCCGATGGACCTTATTTGCTGTACGTTTCGTTGCCTCCAAGTCTATATCACGTGACGATAATCAAGTAAGTACCTTACCCAACCGCAGTTTTACCAGGCCTAAGGTAGATTTTTACGATAGTGGACTTGCTAATAAACTTACATCAGCCAAAAGGTTCTTAACTTTCGAGATATCAACCAGCTCTTCATATATCCTGTCGGCCGGGTCAGCGCCCATCTTCATGAAATCACCAAAAAGGATCGGGCTGGTTTCAAACTTTTCCGCTTCCACGTTCTGGTATTTAAAGAAAACGAGGCAATGGTTTACTTACGATGCCGATAATATCTAGATTTCTACAAGGCCAAAAGGGAATATCTCGAAGGATCTTTTAAGACAAGTCTTTCCGCAGTAATTCAAAATTTGCCATAAGCAAGAAGCAAACTGAACTCCTTCTAAAAGAAAAAATGGGCCTGAGCCTGCCATCAATTGAAAACCAATAACTAGTCAGCTGCGAACTTAAAAAAAACAAAAACAACCATGATATGGTGGACGTACGAACGATTTTGTCAAAATAAGAATTTCTTGGATGCATACATACCCAAATTTTATGGTACTCCGCTGAGCGCAAGAACTCCGCTAACGTTAATTTCGCCAAAATACAAAGACGCACAACGGAGACGCAGGCCTAGTTCCAAAAGATTTGTCCAGGTGAAAAGAAATGGACAATTTCCTTTCTCTTTTTTGTTTTTTCACAAAGAACTATCCCATCTGCAACATCAATTTATGCCAAATGGTATGACCTCTAGTTACACTGAATAACTGTAAATTGTGAGAAAATATTTATTGCAGATTTCGCACCTGTGAGAAGTGTTTCTGTGCCATTTCTGACAAAATGGTGTTGAAATAGCGTTTGTCTTCCTTGTTGATCAGACGATCATGGAACACTCTTTGAGCTTCATGGCAAAACAAGCGGAAAATCTGCCCAGCATCCCTTATGACACCAGGGTCTGCTTGTAGAACACCTTAAATACAGCAAAGCAGTAAATCACTGACTGAGAAAGGTTGCCGTGTGGGTGGAGGGGGAGGGGAGGGAGGGGTAGGGGGTTTATCAAGTCAAATCTTTACCTAGAAAGAGGGACAAAAATGTTGAGACACTTCTGTAAAAGGGACCCTTTTTGTGGTAGTGGTCACATTTATCCCCCTCCCCCTGAGTACACCCACCCCCTTCCCCCCAAATCAATGTTGAATTTAAGACTCGCAAGTCTTTCTTTTAGTACAAACAACATTGATTCGGGGGTAAGGGTCGGCGATTGAAGGCATTACGTTTAAACAGAATGAAATAATAAATGAACGAAATTGTTCATGAAGCGCGTTTTAGACAAGTGTGTCAACTACTTTCTTCCCTAATTGTAGCTAGGGTAACTAGTTAACTTTTAGCTAATGTATAAGTTTTCTTACCTTGTATGCACTTGGACAAATCTCGTAAGTTGAACACATAGTGTGATTTAGCCGGAGTAGGAAGAAGGTCTGTGCTCATACGAACATAGATTTCAACGCTACAAAATAAGAGAAATAAGGAGTTACTCATAGTACTAACTCACAGAAGATGATGACACAGTTGGTACCAGCTTCGACGAAGCCGAAACCACAAAAATAGAACAAGGTTACTTGGCTTGGCAAGTGATTTATTATCTTAGCGTAGAGAGTTCTAGGTTGCTTGCTGCAGCACGAGTTGAATAGCGATGTTGCGCGTTTTACCTAGTCTTGCAACAAATACAGAATGCTAAAAGTTGTTTTACTTCATAAAACGCGAATTTCTTGGAGACAAGAAGTACCGTGGTCAAGGGAGATCTAACAAGAGAAACAAACCTTGCTCCCACAATCGCATCTGCACAATTTCTGACATCCTGAGGGAAGTCGATTAAAAACCCACTCACAATGGACTGAAAAATGACAATGATTAATACGAAAAAGTTAACCACTTGTAGTAAGGTTTGGTTTTCGAAGACAGGGACAAAAATGGTGAACACATGCCAGAGGAAAAAGAAAAGGAGGGGGAGGGAGGGGGGAGGGGTGAGGGAGTAGAGAAGAGAGGGAGGGAGGGGAAGGAACTGGAAGGAAGGAAGAAAATTAATGAATAAGTGAACGAATCAATTAATCAATGATTGTGTGAATAAATGAATAAATGGAGGGAAGGAAGAAAGTATTGAGAGGCAGGGAGGGTGGGTGGGCGAAGGAAGGAAAAAAGGAAATACGCAAAGCGATGGATAGGTCATGGTATAAAATGAAGGAAAGGGACGTCTAAACACATACTAGATAAATAGCTTTTCATTACCTTGAAGATATGCTTCAGAGTGTGTTCTGCTGATGATGGAATACTGAACATGCTAAAGTGACGAAGGAATCTTGGTGTCACGGGGTTTCTGCCGCCACCGGGAGGGGCACAGGCTGCGCAGATGGTCATGTCCTGTTCACAAGAGCAAACCAGAGCAAATAAGAAAGTGTCAAACTTTAGGCACGAAGTAATAATAAATGATTTTGTCTTGTGACATCCGCTGGAGACGAGACCGCTGTTACTACGTAGTCATGGGAGCCAATTGAAGGTCTTGCCATTGACAGGGTAAGGCCAGTAATCAGGACCCGGTTGCATAAAGCAACTTATCCACATATGTTCACAACGATTTTCCAGGGTGACTTAATCGAAGGTGGATTAACGAGTGTAGGAAACCAAAAGAGAGCACGAGAAAGTCCCTGAGAACACACAGAACAGAGTGGAAAAACCAACCACTAATACAAACTAAGTTGCTTTCCAAGCGACAACGACCTAATAAATCCAAGCAAGTCTCAACAAGAAAAAAACCTTACGTGAATTTCCTTCCAGAAAAGTTTCTCCCTGTCATAAAATCCACGGAAGTCCTGCAAGAAAAAAAAAAACAATTATAATAATAGTTATTGAACCCAAAGTTGCTTCATTATTAAGAAGTTACTTCACAGCCCGCGAAGAAAAAACAGCAAAGAAAAAAGACATGTGACCTTCGCGATCTTTCTTAAGAAGAGAACAGTTGAGGATGTGAATTTTATTCAACGTACCTGGTATTGTCTGAGTAATTCTATCGGAGGCTGTGCTCCATACGTGTCCAGCTTTGGCATGTTTAAGTCGTCAACAAAGATGATCATTCGCTTGCCGGCAGGTGCACCTAAAGCAACAAACATTGCAAGTAGTCACTAGATCAATGATCTTTACCACACAGGATGTCAATTAATATTCAATTGATATTCCTAGTGCTAGAGCTCCCTAAAGGTGGGGATAAGATTTTTTTTCGGGTACAGACCGAAAGATAGCAACAAAGAGGTGAGGGAAGCTTGCAATGACCATTATTAGGGCTGCGAATGAAGGACTATGACAAAGTCTATATATTTTTAAAATACTATAGGTGCTACTGTCAAATGATCTGTATAACTTCAAAGACGAGGAATTCCAAGACCAGAAGCTCACAAAAAATTCCGAGCTCCTGGTGAGAATCCAACTCACGACCCGCCGAGTTCTAGTTGGGACGCTGTAACCACTGGGTAAGTCATTCTTCTGACATAAAGATACAACGACTTGCGTGTAGATCAGAGGAAATGTCCTTTCAAGGTTTTGCTTTCTTTGATGAAAAAATTATTTGCTCGTTTTGTTTGTTTGTTTGTTTTTTTTTTGGAATTAGGGCCACAAAATGTCCAGACCTTCTCTACGGTATGCTGATTTCACTTTATCAAGTTTTAATTAAGAAAGTTGTTCTTGAAAGTTTGTTTTTTCAATCAGCGGCCCCTTTAACGAAGTTTCTCATTCTTTATAATTTCTTTACAATTTATATCACTGACGTGTGAATGAGACGAAACAAGGGCATTACCGAGGATATTTTTTCGCTTCTTCTCCAGTTTGACTTCAATCATTTCTTGTGTGCGTTGACTGCTGGTCTGAGCTGAAAAGTTCATCATGATCGGAACGTAGTTGGCCTTGTCACTTATGTCGGTAAGAAGTCCCTTGGCAACTACAGACTGCAAGAAACAGAAAGGATGGAATGAATGAATGAATGAATGGATGGATGGAAGAATGAATAAACGAATGAATGAATGAATGAATGGAAGAATGAATAAACGAATGAATGAACGAATGAATGAATGAATTAATGAATGAATGAATAAATGAATGGATGAATGAATGAATGAACGAACGAACGAATGAATGAATGAATGAATGGAAGAATGAATGAATGGATGGATGAATGAATGAATGAATGAATGGAAGAATGAATGAATGGATGGATGAATGAATGAATGAATGAATGGAAGAATGAATGGAAGAATGAATGAATGAATGGGAGAATGAATGAATGAATGAATGAATGAATGGAAGAATGAATGAATGAACGAATGAATGAATGGAAGAATGAATAAATGAATGGAAGAATGAATGAATGGATGGATGAATGAACGAACGAACGAATGAATGAATGAATGAATGAATGAATGAATGAATGAATGAATGAATGAATGAATGAATGAATGAATGAATGAATGAATGGATGGATGAATGAATGAATGAATGAATGAATGAACGAATGAATGAATGAATGGAAGAATGAATGAATTAATGGCTGTCATGACGATGGTGGTGGTTATGATGATGATGATGATGATATTGATGACGGTGATGATGACGACGATAATAATGACGAAATAGTGTTATCGAGCAGTGCTTTAAAGAATGCTATATATTTTGCTGTGCAAGGTGGCTCTAAGTAACGTTTGAGTCTGTGGACGGAATCCTCGCGTGTAACCACTTAAATTAAAGCTCCTGAGCAGCTCGTTCACGTGATGAACTCGGTTTCGCTGTTAGTTCCAAGCAAAAAATATCAAATGAAGCTTTGAAGACTCTCACCTTGCCAACACCAGTTGTACCAGTATACATAACGGACCTGTTGATTGCCAGAAGTTTCTCCATGAGGAAGCCATATCTAACAGTATCCACTGTAGGAACCAGAAGGTCAAAATATGGGATATCAGCACTGTATTTGAATGATGGGATGATCTTTTCCCAAGGCTCCAGTCGGCGGGTGTCAAAGTCAACAAAGTAGCTGAACAGGTCACCTGATCCAGGTAGCTGTAAAGTGATATGGAAAGTTTGAATTTCAAATTCACTAAGCATATCACATGATATCAAGTTTTAGTAAAATCCAACTAGTGGTCTATTATCAATGCTGCGTTCTGATTGGTTGAGCTACTACTAGGCTATATGTTATAGCCCACTAGTAGCGAAAAGCGCGAGCTTTTGGGGGGGAAAAGGATTAAGGTCTAAATTTTTGTATTCTCGATATTTTTGACCAACTAGTTGGATTTTACTAAAACAATTATTCCTCTCGCCCTCATGGCCTCTGAGTCAATAGCCCATTCGGCCTTCGGCCTCATGGGCTATTGACTCAGAGCACATTCGGGCTCGAGGAATAATTGTAAATAAGTCGAAGCCCCCCGCCGGGTACCCCCCCCCCCCCCCCCGAGTCGAAGGTGCTGCCATTTATTACTGGGCATATACTTTACACGAGACTGTCCCATCAGACTGAAACGTGCCGTTTCCATTCCAGGTATTCGGCAGATTCAGAAATAAAAACGAAACAACAGTACGATGGCGCGCACAGATCTAACAACGAGCTTGACCAATGGCTAGATCCTCAAGTCGCGTTGAACCTCTAGTGTCCTAACGACAGCACATTGCGCTTATTTGTGCATGTAATTCTTGTGCTAATTTATCTGGTGGCCGAATATGCTTATTTATACCATCAGTACATTATAGTTATTTCAATGGCGAGGCTAAAAAAGCGAACAAACAAACAAACAGACCATAAAAAGTACCTTGTAGTTTGAATATAACTACTTCACCTTAACATCGTTTGTGTCGGAGAACAGATCCCTGGCAAATGAGTCAAATGCATCCATGGAAGTCTCGACCAGATTACCACCGATACTCCAAAGGAATGTGAAGAGGAATGTGGTACAGATGAGGGAGTGCAGCTTGTTCGTGTCCATGTTCCAGTCTGGTCCGCCTTTCTGTGGGAAGAAGAAGCTCTCCAGTAGACAACACATCGTTGTCACTTTGTTGATGTCGACCTAGAAAACAAGAACAATAATAACAGCGAAAATTTTAGAGCGCGTTCGATTGGTTTGTTGCGGGGACGGGAGGACGCCTTTCCTATTAGATCCTTCGCCTTCTTATTGTCGTTGAGCATGTAGGGACAAAAACCGGCTACCTTGGTAACTTTGAAGAAAATAAGAGACTTCTCGCAGTTTACGGGGGAAAAGGGGCGGGGGTGGTTGCGTCAGCGCGTCGAACGCGTACTCCGAAGCTGATCACTTGCTGTTATTTTTTCTTGAGAGTCCCATGGTCAACTCTTCGGCAATTCTTGTAGATAACAAACTGGTTCGACTATGCCAAATGAAGTTTCTAACCAAGTAGCACACAGACACATTTAACCAGCACGTAAATCATATAAACCGGTGCAGTTCGTGATTGGTTTACCTTGATGAGAAGTAAATAGTGGGAGAAGAAGGAAAGGGAGAGGGGGTGAAATGAGAAGGGCGGGCCCTTCTCCCTCTGCAGAGGTTGACTTATTCCGAAATGGTCAAGGGTCTGAAAGAGGATTTAACTGGAGGACAATATATAAACTATTTTGTTGTTGCTACAAGGTAGTCGGTAAAATGTAAAACAATACCTGTTGCATGGCCTGGACACATTTTTTTCTCGCAAAGTTAAGACCATTATCCACGTAGTTTTCGAACAGGTTCATCAAATACTCCTGTTGATTGAAAAGAATAATTATGAGTTTCATCGACATATTGCGTGTTAAAAAGGTTTGTGTAAAACTGGTCATAGGCCACCGCAAAACGACTATTTCAATACCTGTGTTTCGTCTTTCATCTTTGTACAAGTTTTCTGCATCCAGGACTTGACGTATGGTCTCCAGCCTAGCTCATTGGGATCCATGTATACCATACCACATCTAAAGAAAAAACAATACGTTTTACGGATAAAGGTATGAAACGCTCAATTGGTCATTCCGAGGAAGGTTAAGTCAAATTGCACCATTTGCTCGGTAGTTTTGGAGGACGGATCAGTTTGGCCCAGTTTTTGTGGAACTTTTTAATGGGGTATTGCATTTAAAATCTGTCACGATGACGATGATTCAGCCGCATAAAATGTCCGACTTTCTTTCAAGCTATTTTAACTTAACCTGAGAAAACAGCCGAAATTTCGCAACGCTACCACTGGTTTCCACGCGAAATGACGTCTCAATAACGAACCCAGTAATTCCATACTGATGATGTATAAGTATAACTACCCAGACCTGGGTAGTTATACGTATGGAATTTATGCGCTCGTTTCTCAGAAAAAAAAAAAACAACAAACAAACAAACAAACTGGAAAACCAGTCGAGGAGTCACAAAATGTCCCTTTTTTTCACTCAGGCTAATATCAACTGGACACTTTATGTTTTATCGCATGCACCTGCTAACAGTGGCTGGAGAAGCGACAGCCAGATCTTGGACCTCAAACAACATGTGCATCGTGTTGTTAAGCTTGATTCGCTCACTGTTGGCTAGACAAAGCATCTTGTTGTCATCCAAAACAGTGTTCATGTTTTCGATCCACAGAGCGTCCACAGGTCCGTCACACACAATCCACTTGTGATCTTCAGTGGTGTCCTGTGGGGAGACAGTCAAAAACGGTGATTATGGAGTTTAAGCAGCGATGTTTTGGAGCAACAAACGTCAACCGGAAGTGGACTTTTTGCCCTCTTGAGCCGTGATATTGAACATATGTTTGGGTAAATTGTCTATACATGTGTAAAGACACTTAGCAATACAAATTTGGTAGCGTCGAGGCATATTAATAGAGAAAAAACTCACTTCCGGTTGTCGTATGTCGCTCAAAGACGTTGCTGCTTAAACTCCCTACTATCCGGGTCGTATAGCCCATTCCAGGCTCTAAGTCAGTGCAGATGAGCCAAAAGAGTGAGCGAGAAGTGAAAAACGTCGGAAAGAGAGAAGGGGAGGGCCTGTATTCCTCAGTCCGCTAACTATCAGAAATACTGTTTCTCGTGTCGGAAGGTCAAAATATGCGGTGAAGGAAAGTTTCACACGCTCGCAATGTTTGTTTGTCTCTGCGCACGCGGAGCTATGTGACTCACATATGTGTTCACGTAAACTGTCAAAACTGACCAACCATAGGAATACCAGAAGCCGGTATGATCAGATGTGTGGAAAACAACGCTAATAGGTTCCACTTCCGCGTCTCTCTCTAGCTCCCATGCGGTTTCCCGCAACTTTTCTCGATCCGCTTTCCCACCTATCTTGGAGACTGAAGCACACTACAATCCCGCCCACATAGCCTGTCTATTCAGCGTAAAAAAGAGCAACTTGAACCTGAACCCATATTGTTCAGGAGCACCTACCTGAACACAAACTCGGACAGTGATAGCCATGAGTCCATCTCTCCATTCCATTGTTAGCTTGTTTATCTCCCCATACAGCTCACCCATGCTAACAGCCTGCAATAGCCAAACATCACACTTGCAATTAATTGCTTAAAGAAGCTACGTCACGAGGATATTGCTGAGTCCCTTTACCCAAAACAAAATGGGATTAATACACGTTTCTGGAAAACTGCCCACCTACCCCTCCCCTAACCCACATTAACAATTACTTCTCCCTCAGGCAAAATGTTGGCTTAGGGGAGGGGTAGGTGGGCAGTTTCCCAGAAACGTATAAAGATCCACAAAATGCTCATGTAGAGTTTTGAAGAAGATATCAAACAAATTCCATGGGTGAGCTAAACCATAATATTTTTCTGGAGGATTTACGCATGCATAGCATTAAAACTTGAAAACGTGGTCCGAGTTTCTTCAAGTTTCAATCCATGCCAATCCTAGCCATCCGTAGCAACAGATGACAGGAAACAGTTTCAAAGCCTAAATATAGTGTTAAAAAACAAAACTGGATCATTATTTTTGGAATTCAATTGATGCGAAGTCAAGTTATAGCTTTTAAAAGATAGAAAATAGTGCGATTTAGACCCTTTTTGCGTTTTACTCCACAGTAAAGTTAGGGTGAGATGATTTGTTACTCTACCTTGTAAACTTGTGGAGGAAACCCAGTGGTGTGAGCATTCAAACTTTACCTATTTTACGCAAGTCATGGAGTTATTTTTACCTTGGGATTCAATACGTAGGTGTGAACTTTCAGGTAATAGGGATTGTCTTCTCCTGCTTCATATAATGCTGTCAGTGTGTCCTTAAGAACCTGCAAGTCAGAGGGAATACCATTTCAAAGTAAGTAAGAGTTGTAGTAAGTGAAACAATCTAAATTCGAGATTTCTTATTTTAGGAAAAAAAATTAAAACAAATCATGGAAAATTTTTTGTTCTCGTAAATTCAAACTGCCTGTTTAAATTACAGAAAAAGAGTTCTTATCCTTTGATTTACTTTAAATTTTCTAGTAAAATAAGAAAACTTTTCCTTAAATTGAGAGATTCGGAGCAATCTCGAATTTAGAGTGGAACCCTCCTTAAAATATATTCTTTAACTCATAAGAACGCTTTTCAGCTGTGCTCTCCGACGTACGTGTTTCCAGTATGACCGTAGCCTGATAGCAAGCTCTCCATTTATGGTGAGCGAAGCGAGCCGGGAGCGGCGCCCCTCGCACTCGTTTTTTTCTTTCGCGCTCTGCTCTCCCGTGACTTCTCGCGATTCCCCCAAATGGAGAGCTTGCTCTCGGGCTAGTATAATGAAAGAAAAGAAGGCTTTTCACAACCGCTTGCCTCATAGCTGGTGGTTTTTCCACCTCCAGTGGGACCAACAGTCATCACACCATGTCGAACAATCATGGTCTCGTACAGCTGAATCGTCTTCTTTACCATGGATGGAACAACCTGTAATACACGGTTAATAAAAGAAATAACTCTTAAAGGAGGTGTATCACGAAATTTATCGAAATTCAAACAGCGGGAAACGCCACCAAATTGAATTAAAAATCAGCTGCTGTCTGTGGCTCCACCGGCGTTTCAGTTAGGCATCTACCACACGCTCATCTCTGTGGATGAGTTTCATCGAAATTCAAACAGTACGAACTGCCATAGACCATAACTATACCTTATTTTATCGAAAATGTCTGCTATTAAAAAAAAAAAAGCACTTTATTTGAGTGTCAATGTATTTAGCACGAAAGTAATAACTGTGGACACTATTTTTACGACGGGACCGCCATTTTACGTGGTCATCCGAGCCACGCGAAGGTCTAGCCGTTTGAAGGACAAAGGAAGTACCTTCATTTTACGTGGTCATTTTAAGAGCCAGTCAAGCGACCGAGGAGCTAAACCTGCCGCGGTAAATATATTGAGTCCAGAGAGAATGAAAGCAATACCTGGCAACCTTTCTTCAGCAAACATTCTTCGATAGTAGCTTGCAATTTGCCGTAGTCGTGATCTGGAATCTCCTTTCCAGGGAACAGATCTGAAAGAATGGCCTGGAAAACAAAACAACAACAACAACAAAAACGTTGTCAAAGATAGCTTTAAAAAAGTAGTAGTAGTAATACGGTCGACTCACGATAACTCGAACCTTCAAGGGAAATCGAAAAAAGGTTCGAGTTATCGGGATCCCAAAGAAAATAGCCAAGACTAAGGTAAAAAACAGTTTTACTGCACAGTGAACATTTTTATCACATTCAATTGTAGAAATGTCAAGTGAAAATTAAAAGATACTTCTAGATTATATATCAGAACGTAACGTAACAAAACATAGCGTTTTACTGTTTTGAGAAAACATTCTTCGACAATCAACATCAGCCTCCACTAGTAAACTATTTACAACAGTCATGGGAAATCCAAAATTCAATGTTTCGGAATCTAGACCTTTTTTTCCCGATTTTAAGGGCTCAAAACACGAGTTATCGAGGGCAAAAAATAATGGACCTGAGGGGAAAAGAAGATTGGTTCGTTAGCGGGAGTTCGAGTTAACAACAACCGAGGGTAAAAACGTTGTCAAAGAAATCGGTTTTGGTTCCAATTAGCGCGAAAAAAGTAGGGTTAGTTATCGCGGGTAATAATAATAAAATCAAGGAAACGGCATGATTATCGTGTAGACTCAAGGTCAGAAGCATAAAAGCATCAAAAAAGAGAAAGTTTAGGCGTCAAGTGAGAAATTATTCTTGGGAAGCTTTCCAATGTGTGACACGCGCTCTGTACACTCATTTCGAAATTTTCGAAATTTGGAAAACTCATTCTCAATGTAGCATGCAGGACAGGCGCTTTTTTTTGCATTTTTCAGGCTAGTATGAAGCGAAAGTGGAGCGCGAGACAAGCTTGACAATGAAAGGTCTTCCCCCTATCTGCTTATTCAAACCCATAGTCCAGTTTCGAATTTGTTGCCGCTGCCGAAAAGAACTGAAGACCCGTTTATACAGGGTTAGCCTCGACCTAAGGTAAACATATGCACATATTTCAGTCAGAAGAAGACTTACGTACTACCGTGTATATTGTTTTGAACTCAAATTCAGGCACCTTCTCGCCGGTATTTGTGAATATTTTACTTTAGGTCGAGGCTAGCCCTGTATAAATGAGTCTTCAGTGCCCCTATTCAGCAGCCGCGACGAATTCGAAAGTGGACTTTTGCATTGGCCTCCTTAAACCTAGATATTTTCTTCTTTATAAACGAGCAATCGGTAAAGTTTGACCAAAAACTCACTGTAGGTTCTATTCCAGACGCGTTAGCCTGCGAGCAAGCCCTCCATTTGGGTTAGTCGCGAGAAGTCACGCGAGAGCCACACGCGAAAGGAGACGCGTGTGTGAGGGGCGGGGAAAGGTTGCTCGCAGGTAACAGACGAATGACCTTAAACCTTTCTATAAAACGTATCGCACCATGTAAGGGACACTGGATTCCAGAACCTGGGAAATTTTTGCTTCTGGTATCAGGAATCCTGGAAACTTTTGCTAGTGGAATCTGGAATCCTACTTAAGTTTGGAATCCAGAATCCAAGTTCCACTGACCGAGACTGGAATGTGGTACCTGGATTCTGGATTCCGGAATCCAAGACTGTCTTGGTTTCCCTTACAAGGGCCAAAACTTACTCTGAAAAGCTCAGCATCCTGTTTAAGAAACTTGGGCAGATTACTATCTCGGAGAGCCCTAATAAGCACAATATCTTCATTGAGATTGGGATTGCCTCTCTTGAGTGCACCAGCCATGACAAGCACTGATTTGACAGCCCTCATACCAAAATCATAATGATCTTGTTGGGACAACTGCTCGCTACAGAGGCGGTACATTTGCACCATCTTACGAGCCAGGTTCTTCGAGGACTCAAAGCCTTCGGAGTATAGAATCACTTCAGCGATTAAGGCTGTGGAATAAGGATACATGTTTGGTGAATTGTATATTTGAAGGAGCTGTGTCATCAAATTTATCGAGATTCAAATAGTGGAGACTGCCACCAACTTGAGCAGAAATGCATTTCTTAATCTTTTCGCTCTCAAAATATTTACCCCGGAAAGTTTCATCGTACTTTTTCCCGCCAGAAACGTTGGCACTATCATCTTTTAATGAAGGGTGGTTAAACCCTCTCCTGATGCTAAAACGATAAAACTTCTAACATTTGATAACTTGCTTCCGCTACAACGACATTCTCGCTCTGAAAATCTGTAGTAGGATGACGACGGCTATCATCTTTTCCCGCCAAAATGACGCTGGTTCGTGCGTGCGCACTTCTTATTAATGAGAAAATCTCGTTCTTGTAGTCGTACTCGTCTTAGAGTTTAAAGGTCTCTCATACAAGTATGACTTTCATCATCTTCGTACGTGGTGACAAATTGCTACGGAATTCTGTTAGGAAAAGCGTTTAACGTTTATATGAAACCTTTTTCAGCTTTCAGCACTTTCACAGGGTACTAGTGTTTTCAATATTTAACACCACTGTAGTGTCGTTACCATATATTTATAGTGTTGCTACCATATATGGGATTGTATTGTGTAGACTAGGATTCCCGGATGTGTGAGCACGAGGCTGTCAGATCGGTGTAGTAAGCATGTAGATTAAACGTCGGTTATCTATTACTCTGGACTCCTTGTTATAAAGCATCTTTACAACCATGGAATTTGGGATTGTTTTTTCTTATTATCTTATGCGGGATATTTTTCAGGGGCCGCAGAAGATGATTAGCTTACCATAATCTGGCACCATCATAGCCATTGGTCTGAACAGAGCTTTCAAGTTATCAGGCAGCTCTGTACGCCCAGCATATCCGGGATTCATAGTGATAAATGCAGCACAGCTTGGGATGAGTTTGATTTCACGGCCTTCAAACATAAAGCGTGATGCCTGTAATAAACACATAATAGTAGTTAAGAGACCAATTTGTGCCACGTGACTGAATTTTCCCACTACTTGTCTTCTAGTAGGCATTGGTCAGTCTCCTTAGATTTTTGCTCTGGACAAGGTGCACTTGACAGCGTCTTCTGTGCCTGCACAATTCAAAGCAAGAGCGGCAGTCTCTTCTGTAATTTGTGCAGATGAATTGGTGGCGTTCTCTTTCTTTTACTGCTGATTATATTGACTCAAAAATAAGTAGTTTAACGCCAGTTTTAATTCATACCTAAGAATAATCATGCACCGGTTTTTTCTACTTATTTCCTAATATTTGCCACACGGTCAACTTGAACCTGGCGTTTACTGTAAACGTGTTTCTAAATCACGGTTATTTGAGGCTGGACGCTATTAACTTCTCCTATCTACGGGGTGGACGGTTATTCGAAGTGCGCGCTTGCTTTTGTTTCGCGGACTTCTCATTACCATTTTAGGGTGCAAATGGACAACGCCCTGTTTCTTGCTGATAATCAAATAAGGTATACTAATCACCTTTGCAACTTTAGCGTTTCTGATGGTAAGCAGCTGCTGAGCAATGACAGACAACACTTCAATATCAATCCTGTTAAACTCATCAAAACAGCACCAGGCCCCTGACTGCGCCAATCCAGAGAAGAACCTTCCCATCATCTTGAAGTCCAGCCCCTCGGAGCAGTTGAATACCACACACTGTTTCGCAAGGGCTTTGGCTAAATCCTGGAAGTAGAGAGTACATTTGCGTTATTTACCAAACACAGGTTGAAGTGTGTTACTACATGTCAAACTCCGAGAAGAGTTGAAAATACGACACGTAGGGGAGTATCTTAAACGCACTTCAAGGGGTTCTCAAACACAGTCAAAAGGGAATAAATCACTCTTTTCACCTACAATGAGGAATCAGCGTGTTTGCCAGAGTTGAAACACTTTGTCTTTTTAAGGGTACGGAAGATCTCTTATAAAATACTGTCACCAAATTTTCGGAACGGAAAACAAAGTTTAGGAAAACAAATAAGAATAGCACAGAGTGCGAGGAAAAGTACTACAGGTGTTGGCATGATGTTCCCTTTCATGATGCATGAAATAATTTGCTATTTTCTTGAACAGATACAAAGCAAAACTTCAATGTAATTCATTCACCTTAGTGGTCTCTGTTTTTCCTGTCCCAGCAGGCCCTGCGGGCGCTCCTCCTAAGTCAAGTTGTAATGCTCCCATCAAACACAAGTAACAGCGATCCTAAAATGAACGGAAAACAAGGTTATAAAGAGCTCTTTACCCTGCTGTTAGTGTAGAATAGGATCTTATTTTATGCTACCTTTACAATGAATAGAGTAAAGTTAAAGACGAGAGCTTCTCAAACTCATTAATAATTCATAAAGAAAATTCAACGGAAATTAATGTTTAATGAGTGTTGGGATATCAGATGCAAAACAGCTCATTTTTGCATCCTTAATTTCTCCTTCAAAAATGATTTTGTTTGATTGTTCTGACAAAAGAGCTTTTCGATAACAAGGGCAACCATCACCAGATGAAACACCTCAAAATTTTCGTCAAAAAATACTCGAATGCGCGTCGTTTTTCGGAACAAACCTTCTTTCTCGGTGTTTCATCTGGTGATGAAACACTGCATCTCATGTTTGATATATTACATGAAATGCAGCTTTTAAGGTTCAAGTTCCCCCAAATTTTTTTGCCTCAACGTGCTCATTTACATGTAAGCGAAAATCTACAAATTACCTTAGGGGAGCAAATTCAACTTTTATCGGCATAATTTTTTTCGGAATATCTGAGGCTTCAGTTGTAGCGTTTCAAACAAAAAGACAAGCGAGAAAAAGCGGTTTAGGGTGAACATGGGACTCTAAATTTTTAACTGCAGACAAAATCGGCGTCACCACCTAAATACGCATACCGACCCAAGCTATGCGCTGGCAGGGGATTGTATGCCGGCCGGGGAATACAAGAGAAATTAAACCTGTGTATATGCATAAATATTACATAAAACAACCACTTACTGTTAGTGGAGTGATGACCAGGCGAGGCGAAGCTCCAAGGTACTCATAACCATATATGTAGAGTGAGTTAGACATGCGCACAACACAGTTATCCAGGTCTGGGTCCCAGTAATAACGCAGCTGTTTTACCCACTCAAAACTGTTCACATTATCAACCTGAAATGGTTGGGAGAGAAAAAAAACTGCAAAAGTTATAATACTTCGCAGTACTACTTGAACACAATGTTTTCTGTTCGTTTGTTTATATTTTTGCCTTTTTTTCAATGACATCATCAACAAACAGGCGTAGTTATTTCAGAATCAATAGACCAGCATAGTTACTACGCGTCACTTCGCGCACCGTGATTGAAAAGTTGAACTCGAGTGGGTTCTTTTACCCATACGTTTTGGCTAAAAACTCTAGTATGTAGAAATTACCTGAAAGTGTTTCTTAAATTGTGATACGGTTTTGATAAATGGGTTACAAAATTACATTTATTATCACGCCTTTAATCATACTCCTGATTAATTTAAGAGAATCCATCTTTCACAACTCTGTTTGATCACTTGTAGCATTTCAGACAGAACTGGGATCCTCGTAATCCTATTACCAACCATTCAATTGCATGGTCAATGTACTCACTCCTACATTTTGATTGCGTAGATGGAATGCTTAAGCGTGGGCTGACTGTGGACGGTTCTTTTACCTTTCGAGCCTATGAATGAAAAAACTTCTTGGACGCGACCATTTAAATAAACCATTTTACTAGTACTTTTGCTTGGTATTCTTTTTCCCACCATATCGTACAACGTGCAATTTGAAAAATCGTTTATAACAATTTTGATTAAAAGCAATCTTAAGTGGCCTGACCTGATGTGCCACCATTCCAGTAACTATATCCCTGGCATGAACATCAATGGTGATCAAAGCACACAGGATGTTTCTTGTAAGTTTAGGAAGCTCTCCACGAACCAGGGCTGCCAGTTTGTTCAGGTTCTGGGTAAAACAAAATACAAAGTCTTCCATTATTCATTCAGTCGCTCTTGTCCCGTCTTCGCATTTTGCTCGAAAGTGAACGAGATATCTCTTTTTCTATTAAAACGCGCAAAACGCACGTGCCCCCAGAAAATATCGACACTTTCGCGCGTCAGTTCCTAACAAGAAGCCACTTTGTGCGCTTCCTCTCACTCGGTTTAGTCTTAATATCTGAGAAAAATAACAACACACTCGTCGTTTATATGACAATTTTTTTTCGTTCAGAAGCAAACTCGTTCCCAAGATCCGTTCGCTTCAGAGGAAAAGAGAGAGAGGGATTGTGGGTAAGAGTTTGTTTCGTTACAACCCCCGCCTTTGTTACTCTGCGTAACAGGCTATATAAAAAGCAAAACGTGCGCATGAGAATGTAAGGGTCTCCGTCTTCCCTCGCTCGTTCCCTGGACATATAGGACGTCAATGAAATTAAAGGTTTTAAAGAGGTGTGAGACAACTGTATGCGTCCTCGCGAGCCAGCTTCCCTTTTCTTCTCGCCTTTTGATCACCTGAGAGACTGATCAACGCTGTTTTTACGTGGTTTTGTCCTCTCCTAGCCTCCTAGATGGACCTTCCAAGGGCTTAGTCGCGAGAGACAACGTCCTAAGAACATTTGCTAGAAAGTGATTTCAGTTTCTCGCTCCCACTGAGAAAGGGGTATCAGTGAAGCTAATTCAGATTCCAGTATAAACGTACCGTAACACACATCTGTTCAGCGTTCTTCATGGCTTCTAATCTGTCGTCTTCAGTGAGTAGGCATTCTGTTATGTCTCTACACCACATGGTCTGAGAGACGGTCAAAACAATCTGCGAGAAAATATAAGAAGTTAGACATACAGATATGCAAAACAACAATAACAGTTGTCTATCTTTACCATACCCCATAACACTAAAACCGCTATATATAAAAGAAACGCTCTAGACAATGAAGTTCAGCCAAGACAAACCCAGCAAGGACAGACCTGGATCCAATACAATGTAAGTCCAAAGCCTTGTTGGAAGTATTGAAAGAATGCTCAGAGAGTTCAAATTTGTGCAACACTACACTAGGCTTGAGGGGATAGAAGCAAGAGCTTCTACCCTTTCCAAACCGTCTGAGTAAGATTGTAGTTTGTCGCTACCAAATCACCTGACTGGGGTGTTGTGTGACCCACTCCTCCCTCGGTCTGCTTTCATAGTCAGCAATAGAAGCTTTAGCGAGCCGTCTGAGTGATGACACCATAGATTCTTCCACTTTACCCAGCCAGTCTTCAACGTTACCACGAGCTTTCAGACCCTAAATGACAAGACAAAGTAGCCAAATTACAGTGGAACCCCGCTAAAACGAAGACTCCGTTATAACGAAAAACATCTGAAAGCCCGGCAGAATTACAGTAAAATGTGGAAACAAACTCCGCTTTAAAAAAATCCCTGCTATAACGAATAGATTTTGACGGTCCTAACGCACAATTTACCCCGCTGTAACAAATATTTTGTCCATTCGCTCGTAGCAGTCTGTAAAAGCGACAGATTTGAGTAGAAATCACAACTTGCTTTAATTGAAAGTGTTTTTGAATTTGTTGTCTGGATTGTCAGCGCTTTACACTTACAGTTTACAGTATCAAATGAATAAAAATAATGTGCAGTATTGAATTTTTGGTAATTGTTATTTATTACATTACCCCGCTATAACGAATATTGTTGCTGTTAACCAGATAATTCGTTATAACGGGGTATTCGCTATAAGGAAGGAGGTGGTTTTTCAGCAAAAACTCTCAGAAAAAGACTATTTCTTTGTCAAAATGCCTGCTCCAGCCATGGTCTGGCCAGCCAGTTCTGACTCTTGGAAAGCGCCCTTTGATTTCATTATAAAATGGACAGCAAAGGGTTTTTTCGTTGACAAAGAAAGAAATAATTATATTTATTACCTTGGTGAGTCCAACTCTTTCTCCTTCTGGGGAAATCATTGCTAAGATATCATTTGTTTTTGTTTCAGCAGCCTTGCCAGCCGAGGTGGCTGTTGAAGAAAAAGCAACTGAATAAGGAAAATAAATACTGAAAAATCGAATAAGCCTCAAAACACACCAACGTTATGAAAAACTTCCTACATGATAAACGTATTGCGTTCGACGTAAAAGAACGCACTCCTAATACAGCGAGATTATGTTAAACACCAAGCCCCGGTTGTGAAACCGTCAGATACCGCTATTCACCGGATAAATCACTATCCAGAGAATTAGAATTAGGAAACCAATCGCTTCTTTATCCACTGGATAGAGATTCATTCAGTGGATAGCGTTGTCCACCTTTAGAACAACTCGGCCTGGGTGGAATTAGGGACACGTGTCTGGCATCCCCGCAGATTTTGCCGGGGCATGGATCAAGATCAATCGGTTACTAGCACGAAACTGTAATCGTTGTTTCACTCACGTCTGTCTCCAGTTGGGGTCAGCGGTTTTTCTGCTCCTGATTGAGGTGTAGTTGGCGCCTGCGCAGTGGTGCCAAACTCCAGTCTGAAAAAGATTTCGGAATCAAGAGGATACAATTTTAGATAGCATGAAAATTATTTCGCCTTGCCATTGCACTAGTATTCAAAACTTTTATTGGCTATTTTTTCCAAAATAATGTGCCAATCAGAGACTCATATAGTCTATTGAAACAAAGGGTACCTCTGTTTCAGTGGTTGGCATATCTGAACGACAAAAAAGATGATTACAAACATGAACTATCGCTATCTGCTAATTGAAGAGAAATGAAAATTGAAGAAATCGTCTATTCAGCCCAAATTTGAAGGACATTCTTTGTAAAGCGCTTCAGCTTCACTCGGCCAATACATCAAGGCCGAGGTCTGAGATTTCCCTGTAATGACCGAACAGACGAGGTTAATAAGTAGTATATAATAGACTTATTACGGCGCGGATTTCCTTATACTCTTTCTACATGATTATAAAGCTAAACAACTGCGATGTACACTTGCTGCAGCAACTTAGAGACAAACGTGTCATGCGTTTATCTAAAAAGAACGAAGCGATCAACCTACTTTGCAATGGCGTCGAAGCATTTCTGCAGATGGGGCTGAACTGCGTGGGGATTCCTTGTCTGTGACAGGATCTCCAACAACTCGTCATTCGACAGAAAGTAAAACCTATAGTCAGAAGGAATGTAATATATAAATGGCGGTCAGTAGTTGAAAATGATAATAATAACAACTAATTTGCAAAACCTGCAAGCAACACAAAAACCTCTCACAACATGAACCTGTGAGCATCGAGATGGAAGGTTTCCATCCTTCACATTTATCAACAATGCTTTCACGCTTCCGGTTCCTACAGTATGCAGGACGGTTATCGCATAAGAAACTTGCAGTAAAAGCTTACCATGGGTTTTTCAAGGGTTCAAATCCTCGTCGGAGGCTCAGAATCGTTTTTGTCTAACCCCGCTCGAGATGTAATGAACATTTCAAGATATATTTCACAACTTTTACTCCTCTTTGCTTTTTGGTCGCAATTAAAAGAAATTTTAAGTCGCAAATGCAACTGTAAACAGTCAAAACCATTAGCTCCAACGGCCTTTCAAAATTAATCTTTCTACTCTTTCACAGTCATTCTATTAACAAGTGAAATAATTGATAAATCACTGATTGGCAATTTATCATTTCACGATAGAATAATAAGCTCAATGATGTGTACCTTGGGAAAATAACACATTTAGATTCCAGATACGCCTCCAAACACTTCTGAATTTGGTCCAAAAGAGCATTATTATTTTGAAAAATCTCCAGTAAACCTGGGCAACAAATAAGAACATGAGTTACGAAGTATTCATTTAAAAATAATTTACACAACTCAACTCGTATCGATGTTTTAGAGGAAAATGTATCACGTCTTGCTTTAAAGAGATTACAAAAAAGTTAATCAATTAATATAAACCTGTGAGGAAGTTAAGCGCGTGAGAGGACGCATCGTGGTAGACACCACAACGTACTGCACCAGGACGATCATATCTACTTATGACACTGGCCTTTATTAACAAACCTTGATACCCAAACTTGCTTTGTATACATAAAACTGGTATACATTTAGAAATTATTAGAGACCCATGTCTGCCTGGGCAGCTAAGAAACTAAGAACGCATCAAGTTAAAGAACAAGAGAAAAAAGCGAACAGACCAAAATTAATTTTATGAGAAGGCCGTACGCATGCATAAAATGACTAACCAGGTTGTGTGGCAGCCCTGAGAGCATTGGGTAGCCTGTGCACTTTTCTCATAACTTCTTTCCAAGACTTGTCCACTGTTAAAAACATCTTGGCTTCGGCGGGAAGCTGGCGCTGGATATCGGGAGCACTGAAGATGCTCTCTAGATATAACCAATTACGCTGGCATGTCATCCACTCATCCTAGACAAAGAAGGATTTGGAGAATCAACAGTAAGTCGCAGCTTTTTCTTCAAACAATCACAAGCCATTTACAAGGTTCTCACATGCGCTATCCCATGAATGGCGCTGACTAGTAAGAAGTAATCAAGTCGCGCCATTTTCACAACCAATCAGAAGTTGAATATAACCCAATCATGAGGTGAGCACGTGGGTTTCTCCGCGGTAAGCGCTTGCTCATTTACTGCTTTCTTTGCTGAATCATTGGATAACGCAATTTTAGAGCTCCGATTGGTTTTGCCATCATGGTATTTGGGCCATTATACCATGCTCTCCAAATATGGTAACTGCAAGCGTCTGCTCAAAATTAAAAACAAGCTGAAAATCGGTTGTTTATACAAATACAGTCGGGAAGAATTCTCGATATTTTGAGAGCGTTTTTAATAAAACAATTATTCCACTCGCGCTTGTTGGATATGAGATGATCATAGTACCATCTTATGTTCAACGCACACTCGTGGAATAATTGTTAAATATCTCACCAGAGTTTCGCTGAAGAGATGCAACTGCCTTTGCCAGTCTTCCACTCTTGGTCTGATGGGTCCAACGTGACGAGAACCAGCAATGGTGGAAATGTTGATCTACAAGTAAAAGAATAAATTTTCAACACAGCTTCACTGCTCTTAAGATGATCCTGATTTTTCTGCGATCGTAGGTGCATCATATCAGATGACTTATTACACTGTAATTTTCAGGGAGTTTTAATAACTCCTCTAGTGGGGCTAATTTAACTCCTTACAGTGGAGTTATTTTTCGTGGAGTTATTTTAACTCCAAAAAGGAGTTAAAAGAACTCTTTTTCAGGAGTAAAAGTGACCCCAGATATTGAGGAGTTAAAATAACCCCAAAAAAGGAGTTATCCTGTACCTAAAATTTTTACTCCACTTTCAGAGTTAAATTAACTCCAAAAAGAGTAAAAACAACCCCTGTAAGGAGTACAAGTAACCCCATTTCGGAGTAATTTTAACTCCAGACTTGGGAGTAACATGAACTCTTTTTCAGGAGTAAAAATGACCCCAAATTCGGAGTTAAATTAGGAGTTAAAATAACCCCCAAAAAGGGGTTATCCTGTAACTAAAATTTTTACTCCATTTTTGGAGTTATAATAACTCCCTAAAAATTACGGTGTACGGGCTGAGGACGACATTAACGTTCCATGTGATATTTAATCTTCAGTACAAGCATCTATTAAACATAGCTCAGTTAAATTCTTTCTCTTCCGTTAAATTTTCTAAGCACTTTTAAAAGAATCTTAAACCTTCGCAATTTTTAAGTATCATTTTCCTGCGTGTAATGGGGAACACGAGATCAGCTAAAATGACTGACAAGGGCGTAACAAGCCCATAGAATTGTAGGCTTGGGCCTACAAATTTTTGTTTTGATCACTCTACCGCTTGTAATAAATTATGCTTTGTTGGGGTGAGTTAAAAAGCTTAAGAGCTCAAAGTCATGCGTGCAATTTTCAGGATATGTGGAAATGAAAGTCAGCCAGGCCTACAACTAGTAGAAAAGCTGGCTACGCCCCAGACTGACTTGACAAATGAACTGTCATTCACCATGCTATCATCCAGCAAAGCCTGAATGTCATCGATTCCTCCCAGAATAAACACATCTTTGGATTCACGATGGGGCAACACGATGAATTCTGTCTGCTTCCAAGAATCTTCAACCTACAAACACGGACGAAAAGGAAAAACACAACAGAAAGGTGGAAGTCGTCAGAACATTTACGTCATACATCAGTAAACCTTTCGCTGAATCCGCTACATCTAATCTGGACCAATTTAGGTTTCTGGAAACTGCCCACCTACCCCTCCCCTAAGCTAACATTAACACTTACTTCTCACTTAGGGCAAATGTTGGCTTAGGGGAGGGGTAGGTGGGCAGAAAAGGTGCCACCTAATACAAAGTTATTTTTGAGAGGGTAGTCGTTACGATCTAAAAGGACTGCGTGCGCAGACTAAGAAACTTCCGGTATGCATTTTTCAAATCGTGCTTGACGCGCACACACTTGAATTCAGCTTTGAGATATGATTCGCTCAAATAATAGACACTTACAAGGTTTTTTCAATTTTCGACTGGGACCAGTTAGCTAAAATACGTCAGCAAGGCTGGAAAGAACGCGTTATAATCAGTAAAGTTGCCAAGTTTGCAAGTAGGCCTTTTCCGATTGTGCTCGGCAACTTTTGAGCATCTTTTGGCGTTTGTAGTAACTTTTTGCGGTTCTAGCCTTCTCGAACAAATTTTGCCTTTCTGAGCAACTTTTGAGCAAAATATAGGTGTAAAGCACATATCAAGCACGAAAAAGTCAACGATTTCATAGAAAACTTCAATTCATGCGAATTTCTTGAATGTTTATCTTTTTTTTCAATTTTTAATTTTTTTAAATGTTTTTTTCTTTTAATTAGAAATAGCTAAGTTTCCAGCTATTTTTCTTGACCGATCTTAGTAATTATTGTGAAGAACGGAAAATAAAGCTTTTAATTAACGTATATATAAAAATATCAAGAAATTTAGATGGCAACTTTTGAAATTTAGGTGGCAACTTTTTGGCATTCCAGTGAGCAACTTTCCAGCATTTTACGAGCACAATCGGGAAAGACCTATTTGCAAGTGCCCCCCACCACACAAACGTCTATAAAATTTTGCGACTTTGTGGAGCAATATCTTTGCTCTCTTTCTTCAGATGTGTTACCTTTAAACCTAGTAAGCTACCTTATTTTAAGGCTCTCTTTCACACAGTATTGATGGATATTCCCTTAGTGTCCCCACCATACAAACGCCTGTAAAATGTCGCGACTTTGTGGAGCAATACCTTCGCTCTCTATGGACGAATCACCTTTAAGCCTAGTAGCTACCTTACTTTAAGGCTCTATTTCCAACAGTATCGATGGATATTCCCTTAGTGTTCCCACCATACAAACGCCTGTAAAATTTCGCGACTTTGTGGAGCAATACATTCACAGAGTCCAGAGGAGTTTCGTGTGAATAAGTGAATTACCGTCGCTTAGCACGATTAATTAGCCCAAAGGGATCTTTATGAATCTACTGTAAACGAATTCTTCGCTTTTGTGCGTATTTTATACTGCAAGCCGATCTTGCGAGCCCTCAGTCTCTTGGTTTGCGGTCTATAGAATGTGGAACGAAACTGTAACGCGATCAAAATAACCCATTTTTTCAAAGGTTTTCGACGGGTTTTGATGTTCTAACGACAAACACATCTCCCCAGGACCCTGTGCACCTTCGCTCTCTATGGACGTATCACCTTTAAGCCTAGTAAGCTACCTTTCGTTAAGGCTCTCTTTCAAACAGTATCGATGGATATTCCCTTACTGCTTAGCCTGAGAAAACAGACGACATTTTGCGACGCCACCAAAGGTTTCCCGGCGAAATGTTGTAAGAAAGAGACGAGCGCAGAAATTCCATACTGATGACGTGTCACTACCCAGATCTGGCTACTGCTTCTGATTGGTCGTGCCGCGTGTGAAATTTGCGTCAACCAATCAGAAGCACTACCCGGATCTGGGTAAAGACGCGTCATCAGTGTGGAATTTTTGCACTCGTTTCTCAGACGTCATTTCGCGGGGAAACCGTTTGTGGCGTCTCGATGTATCGTCTGTTTTCTCAGGCTACTTACTGCTCTTTATTAACATTAAAACAATAATAAAAAAGAGAGACGTGGGCGTTTCTATTGTCAGCGCTAGATGGATGTTATCTTACGTCGCTCGAATGACACTGGTCTAAAAGCTCACCTTTTTCAGGATTCCCTCTAGGGATGCCTCGCTTGATGCTTGTCCAGAAACTTCTTCAATGGCCTCAGTGTGATCAAATGCGTCAATCTTATTGAGTAATCCCAAAGTAAGAGGTTCTTCTTCAGTGAAGTGATATCCAAAGATCTGCTGAATGTGTTCCCAATGTCGCGGTTTAAGAGCAGGGTTGCGAAGGTTTGTAATAACTGGTAACTGAAATAAGACATTACGTTTTTAACTTAAAGCCTTGCAAAAGAGTTTCAGATTTTTTCCATTATTTCCTAAGGTGGCTAGAACACAAAAACACTTCCAAGCATAAAAAAGACACGCACATTAAACAGTTTCTACACTAATACATGTAAGACAATATCAGAGAGTTCAGGTGGTGGTCCAATACCTTGTGTCTCATCCCTTCCACCTTGTCCTTCAGTATTGGTACCACTGAGTTAGGTGGTAGGCCTTTTTCAAGCTGCATCACCGTCTTGGCGTATTTCATGACTTGATTGCTTAGAGTTTCAGGGTTAAGCTCTTCAAAAGGAGTCTGAAAAAACAAATCAAGGTATGTTGTACGGTAGTAAACACGAGATGGGGTGTTTTATTCGGTATAACCAACGAGAAGTGATAAATCAAACACGAGTAGGAATGTTTCATCTGATATCCAAATACAAAGAAGTTATATATCAACCCGAGTAGGAGTGTTTTATCTGATATCCAAACACCGAAAAGTAGTATATGAAACACTATGAGTGTTTCATGAGGTATTCAAACACCGTGAAGTAATTTTTAAAGCATGAGAAGGAGTGTTTCGTCTGATGTCTAAATATGGAAACTATATCAAACACGAGAAGGAGTGTTCCATCTGATATCCAAACACAGAAAAGTAATACATCAAACACGAGAAGGAGTGTTTCAACTGATATCCAAACAGTAAAAACACCGAAAAGTGATAGATCAAACACGTGAAGGAGTGTCTCACCTCATATCCAAAGACAGAGAATTACTGAGAAGTAAAATATCCAACACAAAAAAGAGTGTTTCATCCGATATTCACACACCCGCCGGAGAAGTGATGTACCTTACCTCAAGCCACTCATCATTAGCCACATCCCAGTCCACAAGTGAATTCCACAGTGACTGTTTCAGTTTCAGCTCGGCATGAACCTCTTCAAGTTCTTCAAACTTGGCCACTTCAACCTGAAAAGCATGATTCAATATGTATGTTACAATTAAATCTCTACAGAGAGGGGGGGAAATAGCTCGAGATAGATACAGTTTTCCATAAAAACGAACTCTTAAACTTAATTTGGCAAAACGAAAGACTTGTATGGATAAAATAACAAGTACATAACAAACAGAGCATAGTGAATCACACAGTTGAATTAGACTTGAAAAAGCTGGGACGACATTTGACTCGAACGCTATATTTCTCTTCATGTTACCCTTCGCTACTTGTGCCAATCTCTGTCTCATTTTGACCTTTATCGATTTCTATTAAATTCTTCAATCTGTAATTCTTTATATTCCCGTCAATTCTACGGCCACTTGCTAAATGCTGGTACGCAAACGAAAGGCCGGGCTTATATATAGGAAAACTAGAGTAGTATAACTATAAAGATATAATCACCTTGAAGTTCTTTTGGTGTGATTTGTAAGTTGATGCCAGGTTATTGAGCGTCTCCATTTTCTCCAGCAGGCCTCCGAGGTACTGAATGATATCTCCAGACTGGGAACTGGAGTCCAAGATCTTGGGATCCTATTGCGCCAATGAAATTGCAACGGAGTCAATGGGTTAAGTCGTTAGAATGTTATTTCATGACAGATTGCTAATAAAGCAGTTTTTAATCAGTGTTTATTTATAATGTACTTCCAGGACTAGTAAGGTCTTGAACTGTTGCGCTTTGTGATTGGCTAAGGATTCAGAGTGGTTGCGGACCCTCAAGGATTTCATGACGTGTTCAACTGACCGTATTCTGGGATAAGAATAGAAGAACTCAACTCTAAAAAAACTCATTTTGGCGTTCATTGCTTTGTAATAGCTTGAAATCTGCTTGAAATAAAATATCCCGATGTAATGTAGCGTTTACGTGGCCCAAAAATCACGGTACGTAAAAGTTTTCTTGCAAATCTCTTGTATTCTTATTCTGGAGTACAATCAATCGAAAGCACCCTCGTAATTCAACCTCACCTGCGCTTTTTGTTTGACTTCTTTGACTTCCTTGCCCAGTGAAACAATATCTTTATCGATATGTGTGCACATCTTGTCAATGTTGGCATCTCTCTCTGCTAACGACTTATCAATCACATTTCTAACAGCCGTAACCGTCGGTCTAAGGGTCTGCAAATACATAAAAACAAAACAATATATTTAATCGTGAAAAAGATAGAGTAGGACCACGAGAAGTCCCTGTTTTTTTCACGCGCGTGACTGAAGGCGCTTCGCCGCTCGACGCTCGCGCGCGCGTGCACTCCCCTCACAAAATCTGAAGAAAAGCGAGACTGCTCGCAGACTATGAAAGAGGTGAATGTCATCACCTAAAAACCTGTTATGCCATCTCCTCGACAGATGGTCTTACTTTAACGCATATATAACGCGAGGAAGAGTAAAACATTATTAATTCCGTCCTGTCGGGTCTACTTGTCACAATGTTGTCCTCAAAAATCCGCTTGGGTTTGAAAATAACAACAATCTATTTTGGGACACTGTTTTCAGGGAATCTGGCAAAAAATCCGTCTTCATTAACTGTCCCATGGTGCAGTTGGACGCAATAACGACCCAGCCCTCAAAATGTCCGTACCCTGAGTCCTTTCACCGCAAATACGTTAACTCATGCAAACTTCTGTGTTAACTTTCGACTTCCCTTCACAAGTGAACGATGCCAGCCATAAGAGTAAACGGTTCCAATAAGTATGTGGATAAATTTCGTTCTTGTTTGGCCTTTCGAAAGCACAAGACGTGGCCTAAGATTTATTACCTTTGCAAAACCGCTTTCGGCAAAGCAATAACGGATGCATGTACATGTCTCGCTAGAGTTTTGAAAACGTTACCGCCAAACTGTAGACCTTTTGCGTCAAACAGTTTTCCAAAATAAGTAGCCAATATAAAAGCTAAGAGTGAAACATTGTTTTTTTCTCTTCTCCTCCTTTCTTTCTCCTCGCCCTTTCCTTTTCTCCTTTCCTTTCCCTTCGCTGGGGTGATTTTCGAGCTTTTCAGGCGATAAAAAATCTCCCATTTGGCCCTTTTTCACTCAAAAGGCTGCAAATTTCGCCTGGTTAGTTTTTTGAAAAAATCGGGGATCAATCTAGGTTTTTGGGAAACTGACCTCCCACCCCTCCCCTAAGTCAACATTATCACTTAATTCTCACTTAGGGCAAAATGCTGGCTTAGGGAAGGGGTAGGTGGGCAATTTCCCAGAAACCTAAAATTTTAATTGATCCCAAATCGGCTGGATGTACTTTGTAATGCTCATACCTGGTAGACGGCCAGATCTTCAGGTGGAGTCGGTACTTTATAGGTTTCAATCAAATCATACAGCTCTTTGACAACAGTAGCATCTCTTTCAATATCATCCACCTAAGTATAAAGCCATTAACACAAACTTTTATTTTGTGGCTCGAGCCAGGCAAAGGTAGAGTGACAGACTATGTTGGTATTTTCTGTGTAAAGATAAAACTAGCTTGCATTTTTAACAAAAACTGAGTGCTTTCAGAGCTCATGGTAGAAAGCTATTGTCTATAGAAGAAGAGACAATTGAATGAAGCATCGATGGCTTTGTTTGTTTTTCTCTGTTTTAAAGAAAAAACACCAGAAATTGATCTTAAAAACTGTTTATTATTTTTATCAATGGCGAAAAGAGATCGTCGACAACTTTCCAGTTTCTACACTCTTGGAGATCTTAGAGATTTTGCCGGCTCCCATAACCAATCTCCACTACAAACTATATGTGCCTCAACTACAGTAACATTGCACACTACTGATCACTAGAGATCCCACAAAAGAAAACGACATTGTCTTTGCCTTTGCCATTCTATCTTCCCCTTTTTGGGAGACCGGACGTAGGGAGTGGTTCCTGCCATTTCCTGGGCCATCGTTTAGTGAGTTGCGGAAAGGCTATAAAATATTTTCTTTGATAAAAACTCATGTTACGATGAACATTAAGTCTTCCTTATTACTTACCTTCTCTTGAATATCGTCCAAGAATGTAAGGCTCTCAACATACTCCACAGTACTACTGGGAATAGCTTCTAGTTTAAACTGAGCGTCTTGACAGAATTCCATCAGTGTGTCCGTTCTCTTCTTGGCCAGCTTGGGTAAAATATCATTGATAACCTACACACAAAATATCAATAGCAAGGCATGGTTTGAAAATCTGAACCAAACAGTATTTTATAGATTTTTCTTTACAATGTTACTGGTATGAATCGTAATACAGCGTTTTCGCATGAAGTCACGGCGGCCATATTGGTGTCCCAAAACATTGAAACGGCGGCCATGTTGGTGTCCCAGCAGTCCTGTGGGAGTTGAACTTTTTTCTTACGTAAAAACTTTCTTTTGTTCCAATAAGTTTGCATGGATGCTGGTGGGTGAACACGCTCCTGATTAACCTTGTTATTGTAGAAAAACACAATTGAGGGTAAAAACATTAACAAATTCGTGGTTCTCATTACGGGCTTATTTGAGAGGGGGGGGGGGGCTTAATACAGAGGGGGGGGCTTATTTGTGAGGGGGGGAGAGCTTATTTAATTAAGAAAAGACGATGGTGTCAGTCCTCCATACAGAACTAGAGTACAAGTAGAAAAGCAGGAGTTGGAGGTCGCGCAACCGAGAATCAAAAACAAATCCGAACTTCCAATTAGTGAATAAGCCATCCCGGATCAGTCGACAAGAAGTTTTACAGACGTGATTGATTAAAAGACAGTATGATTGATTAATGAATAATCTATCATTTATTAGTAGGGGGGAATAATTAGGGGGGAGGGTGGGGGATTATTAACTTTCTTCCCTGAAAAGTGGGGGGCTTATTAAAGGGAGGGGGGCTTATTTGAGAGGGGGGCTTAATACAGGATTTACGGTACCTAAAAAGTATAATCAGTATTATAAGAATTCTAACACTATATACATTAAACAAGGTAGTGCTTTTGATTGGACGATGCAAATTTCTCACTCAGCACGACCAATCAGAAGCACTACTTAGATTTAGGTAGTGACACGTCATCAGTACGGAATTTCTGCGCTAGTTTCTCAGACGTCACTTCGCGAGGAAATCAGTGACGTTGTGAAATATCGGCTGTTTCCCCTCGCTAATGTATTCTGAGACTTTTTTTGACAACTTTAGAGGAGAAAAGCTTAGCTGAAAGGAACCTCTGCAGACATGCAGTAATGAGCATAGCCAGTCTTACCTCCAAGCACTTAAGTGGTGATGGAATGAGAACCTGCTTGAGTTTCTTGCAATCTACAAGTATCATGCCGATGGATCTGTGCTCCAAGATGCCAACCGCTTGTTCATGCTCATTGTTGTATTTGTCCAGTGATTCTGAGAAGAAGCTGACATCTAAATATAATACAGACATAGCAGCGGCAGGTTAGAATTTGTTGTCACAAAATAGTGTTTATGTTAAACGAAATAACTTTTCTTTAACAACCAGTCGTGTAGATAGGCCATTTTTCAGCATCCTATCAATGCATACCCTGCGAGCAAGCTCCCACGAGGCTTTCATGGGAACAGGAGTGGGGGGTGAGGGGAAGGGGGAGAGAGCACCCCGGAGCCGGAACTTGCTCGCAGGCTATATCAATGTCATGGTCACCATACCGTGTTCTTCCTTTCTGATGGCCTCCAAGTCCAGACTCTCATTTTCCTGGTAGAATTGGCGATAAGGTTCAAATGTGTTGGCATACATCCAGGCAGAGTCAAATGCAGATAAAATTGCATCCTACAGGCAAGAGAAAAAAATTAAACCAGACTCAATTTAAAATTCAGCAGTCTTCCGAAAACGGGCGGCAAAAGGTGTTTAGAAATTAAAATGTATCAGGACTACTACATTAGCTACAATCGACGACAAAATTAAATCCTCAAATGGGGTAACTTCGGAGAATAAAACAATCCATACTCCGGCCCTTCCACTTAAATTTAGGGTGTTTGTTTGTTTCTTTTCTTTTTTCGACAGGTACTAACTCGAACGGCGACACAACATTACATGGAGGGGTGGGGAGGGGAAGCCATATTTCAATAATTCAGTAATCAGAGGCAAAATTCAATGCAAGAATCGACAAACCTTGATGTTTTGTATAATTCCCTGCAGATGCCTATCATCTTCAAACATGGTCGCCAAGCTAGGTCCGTCGCCAGCAGTTTTCTCTTCAATTTTACCATTGATAAATGGCCTAGGTGATAGAACAAGCCAAAGTAAGAATGGTCACTGGAGAGCTTAGGCAACAAGGACGGCGACGGCTTCGAAAACGTCACTTAAAAAGTGAACTTGCGCTGCTTCGAACTTTATCACGCTTATTCCATCTCGTTTAATTGTTTGAATGTTGGCAATTTTTTTCGAGGCGGATTCTAAAGGACTGCATCAAAGTTCAGCAAAAGAAAAGGAAAGTTGTTGTCTTGTGTTCCCGTCCTCGACAAATCGTGAAATTGGGCATTTTCACGTCCTAGTCGTGCAGTGACGGCAAAGAAATGTACAAAAAAGCGTGATGCACGTGCAAAGTTGTTGTTTTGCCAATCTAAACCTAACGTTTTTTTGCCGTTGTCGTTGACCTCGCCGTCGTCGTTCCTTAAGCTCCCTAATGATTGGCAGGATCTCTCTGCGTGTTCCTGTCCCTGAATACTTCGGCTATGTTAACACTATACGGTAAAGTGAGAACAGCAGCGTTCCGGGGAGGCACAAGTCGTTCACACACATCGAACATCGTGCCGGCGCGGGCGGTTGACCGAGAGGGTTTGGTGCACTAAAATCCAGTCCTCACTCCTGAATATTCACTTCCGTTCAGTGGGTTCCAGTCCTCGCTCCTACTTATTCACTTCCGCTACTCTCGAATAGGTGTTCGCACGGATCAATTTAGGTTCCTGTGAAACTGCCCACCTACCCCTCTCTTAAGTCAACATTAACACTTACTTCTCACTTGAGGCAAAATGTTGGATTAGGGGAGGGGTAGGTGGAAAGTTTCCCAGAACCTAAATTGATCCGTTCACACTACACCAAGGTATGGCACCAAACTTATCCGATATGTGACGCTCCACTTTTGAGATCAACATTTGACAAATTGAATGTAACAGAACAAGATTAATGAAGTTTTCAAGAGCCGTTTTCTCTGCCGTTGCCGCGGTGGCCGCTTGAACTCCCTAATATTGCGACATATGACGCAATTCTCGACCAATGAGAGCGGGCGAATCGTTCTAATCACCTGAGTTATTATACTAAAATCAAATGTACCCTAGATCGATGTCAGACTTACTGTGTAAAAGCATCAAAGTAAGGATCAGGCACAAGGTTTTGTACACTCAGCACAGCATCCTGGAACTTCTTGATCACTTCCCCGAGGCCTTCCTGAAAGTCGTCTAACCCAGGAAAGAAGAGCAGCGCTTGAGGCTCCAAAAGCAACTCCGTTGTATAGAGTGGGTGGAGTTCACCTTGTTCATCCTGTTAGATACAAAGACAATCACGGAAAAATGTTAAGCCTGGTTTCCATATGATCGTCCCGATTGCCCTAGTCGTTTCAAATAAAGTTCAGGCGATTGGGACGATTATATGTGTACGGAAACACTCCCCGCAAGATAACAAAAGACCCGGACAACTGAGACGACCTTGGTGGTTTGGATAGAATTGAGTTCTATTCGGACGATTGGGACGATCGTGTTATTAAAATGTGAAGCGATCATATGGAAAATATGGAAACACTCTCAGAAGATCGGAACGATAGAAGGCTATCACTCTTATCCTAGTACTCGGGAAGAAATTCGGCGCGGACGCTACTGAAGCAGGAAAAATACAGAAATGTTCGAACCGCATATGGTAGCCTGTGTACAGACGCCTTCCCCTGAAAAGGAGTGCAATTGGACACAAGATGGACCCAGTTTTACACGTAAATCTCAAAATGACCCACACATCTTTAAGTGGGATCAAACTTGAAACAGAGGATAGTACGCCTGTATCATGTTAATGAATGGTATACCTTTTGCTCAATCCCCTCTCCCTCGGGATTTTCTTCTCCATCCTCTTTCTCTTCACTTGTTCCTTGGATCTGTGCGGGGGTGGGTGTGTGCTGAAGTTGCTCTTCTAAATAATTCAGCAGGGTGGCCACAGAGTTTGCCGCAAGCACGTGCATGGTGTTTACGATGAGGTAGTCAGCAAGCCGGATAAAGCTATAAACAAAAAAGTTAGACGGCAAAATTAAGAATTAGACTCAAACAACCCGTAGACATTCAAAGTCATTTGAATTCTTCCAAAGAAAGAGTTACTTAATCTTATCGTAATGATATATAGAGTACACGAGGTTTTAAATTTCACGATAGAAAACTTAATTATAGCATTCACAAGCTTTCGATTCCATCACGGAATCTTTCTATTGTCGGGCTCCGACTTTGAACAGGACGCTGCATCAGGGCTCGAAAAAAACTTGAATTTCAGCTTGTCCTTTGGCCGAGCAGATCTCGCATTTCGCTTGCCCGGGGCTACTCCTTGATCTTCTCAGTTAATGATTTTGTCAGAAGATGACTTGTCTAGACCTTTGCCCATTGAGTAAGTAAGCTTAAAAAGTTACTTGCCCAGCAAGAAAATCTGCTTGTCCCGGAATGAGCTCAGTTACGGTTACGAGCTCCCGGTTACGAGCTCCCTGCGATCTACGGGACGTTTTGAACTCACAGTATAAATGACGTGAAAAAACGTCACAATCTATCATTTGATAAGGATTCCGTGATGGCTTGCGTATGTTAATAAGTTTTCTATACTGGGACTGATCCGGGATGGTTTATTCACCAACTGGAAGTTCGTATTTGATTTTCATCCTGGGCTGCATGACATCCAACTTCTTGTACCTTTAGTTTTCCACTTTGTATTCTACTTTTTTATGGAGAACTGATACCATCGCCTTTGCTAAATCAAATAAGCCCCCCCCCCCCGCCTCTGCCAAGCCTCCTCCCTATTGTTTGAAATAAAGAAGCCCCCCCCCGGGGGGGGGGGTAATAGAGGATTTACGGTGTATAAGGCAGTTTTTACCTTGTGAGTCTTTTACAGTGACTTCTCTTATTTGCCTGTTCGGTGTAAGTCATCTTGTCAGGTGCATCACCATACATATCCATTTCATATCCACTTGGCATTAAATAAGATGACATGGACTGCGCACCACCGTACTCATCTATCAATAAACACACAATATACATTATTATTCATTCAAAATATTTCGCCGTTTCTGATTGGCTCCAATCCTCCAGCTAATTCTTCATAACCAACTGTAAGTAAACGTAAGTAACAGCTGAAAAAATCTCAAAGACAACGACAACGCCAAAAACAATTGGTTTAATAGGCAAAATAACTGCTCTGCACGTGCATCACGCGTTTTAGTACATTTCTTTGACGTCCATACATACGGTTGCACGACTGCACGACAACGATACGAAACCTCCTACACGTAATGCGACGTTTTATGGAGGACGCGAACATACGACGACGAATGTTCCTTCCTCTTTTTAAAGCTGGGTAAACTCCTTAAGAATTCAACTCCTGGAGAAATCGCCAGCATTCGACCAATATAGCGCGTTCAAATAGACCCGATAAAAATTGAAGAGATGTTAGTTGTCTTTTTAAGCGACGTTTTCAATACTAATAAAAGTTTACTCTTTTTTGACTGCCTTTAAGAGGGTCGACAGCACGCAAAGAAAATCGTGTCCGATAGCGCGGGGATAGTGGAGTGTGCCGTCGGGCTGGTCAGTTCTGTTCTCAACTTGCCCGACAGGGCTTTTTGGGGAATTAAAATTACAGATAAAATGTCATCGAAAAAAAATTCAGGTTAGTTAAAATGCCTCTTGGGCTGGTAAATGCTAGCTATAGCTTGCCCGAATGGTGAGCTGTAAAATTGACTTTCTTTGCACCCTGGTCGAGCCCCACAGAAAACTTTCCACTCAAGCACTAGATATAATTCACACCTGCATACATTCCCATGGGACTGTCCATGTCCATAAAGTAATCATCAGGTGTGAAACCTGCTTCCAGAAGTGCCGTACGGCACGCGCTTCTAACAACTTCTTTGACAAGATCACGGAACTCTGCTAACCTACCAGCAACCTACAAGTGAAAAACGAACCATTGGGTCATAATTCGCATTTCATTAACATGGCATACACGTACATGGGTCCGCAGTAATTGCCTTTAGCTGTTGCGGTGTCCCTGCCCAAATATTTAAGTTATTATTAGTGTATTGTTACACTAGTGTTTGCATATCTTCTGTGTTTTTTTTTGTGTGTGTGTGTGTGTTCTTCAGGGGAAAACTAATAAAATACAAATAAAAATATGTAGCAGAAAGCTAACGTAGAACATAAGTAGAAAATTTATACACGATGCATTTTCCAGAAAAAAATTACAAAAAGAAAAATGGTAAGATGTCAGGGTTTACAAATATGCCAAATTTGGCATAATTGTTTTTTGCTCGAAATATTTCAAATTTGTGAATTCAAAGAATTCCTGAAAAGAGTGATTTTGTTTACAATGTAATAGCTCAGAGAACAGAAATGTTCCATTGAATTTTATCATTTCAGCCAGCCAAAATTCCTTCATACTGTATAACTATACGAACAGTGAAACAATACCAAATCAAAAGCATTATCAGTCTTAAAATTGTCTGTGTAAAATATAAACAATCTGTTGAAGTTTGTCTTTTGCTGTTTTTTTTTATTGGGTTCTGCTTGTTTACAGAGCTTCTCTATTCTCGCTCAGAAGTTCTCGTGGTTGCAGATGTGCACTATTAAAATTTAAGTACAGTGTAGTGAGAAGTAAAATTTATGTAACTCCACATTTTCAAAATTTACTCCTGACCAACATTTGTGGGGATGACTTAAAAAAAAAAATTAAAACCTTCGGGTGTAATACACAGGTCAGGACATGCATGTTACTAACACTACAGCTGTATATAATCAGACTAGTAACAAAATTGTATTTTTAATACATACTTCCTCCAGTTGTTCAAATTGGGCATTGCGAAATTCATCCAAAGTGTATGTGTGTCCTTTCTCTACTCTGCAGAGACCCATGTCACTGATGCGGTAGCACATTTCCCGCACATTCAATAACGCAGGGCGTAAGGACTAGAATGGGAACATAAAACTCATTAATATTACAGTACAAGACAACATGCAAGTTATTCTTGGTTCATTCTGGTTTTGCGATTTATTCAGATTACAAAGATATTGGATTTACAGCAGTTAAAAGGAATGCAAAAGTACTTAACTAGAGGTAGGTTTATGTGAAAGGGGTACCATTTGTCAATAGAAGGTATACAAAGGGGTACACATGTAAGGGAAGACGCCTCCCCATAATTAAAAAACTAAATGTTGAGTGTTGTGGGATTTGATTGTGTGGCAGATAAAACTTAAGGGAAAAAACTTAAGGGAAATTTTAATCCCCAAAACTTTTCAAATTGTAGGGAAATTACAATTTTTTTCTGAAAAGCATGTGGCTTTTTAAACTTGCTGGCTACTTCAGTTTTTATTGAAACCCTTGTCATGGGGTACAGTTGTGTCTCTCCAGCAAAACTTTTCAAAAGAGAGAAATACAATCAAGTGTGGCTGGCAATTTTTCCTGAGAGGTGTTGAGCGGGAGGAGGAGGCAGGCACAGTAACTGTAACAGTAACTTGAGAAGAACTGTTCTTCTCAAGAAAATAACCCCCACAATGCCGCAATGTACCACAGTGACGCAATGATCAACACTGTACTGACAGTCTTACCGCATTGACGATAAAGAGATTTTCCTGCAGCTGGTTTTTGCATTGTGTTATTTTTCTAAATATCGAAAAGAAGATAAAATCAATAATATACAAGTCTATTAGTACCATAATAGCATGATTAGTGTGTGATATTTGGCATAAATGCCACAAGCTAAGTGATATTTTGAAATTTGAGACAATTTTTAAATATCACTTGTGGTATTTATGCAAAATATCACATACAAATCATGCTATTATTTGTTTATACTTCTACCCTCAAAAGTTTTGCAATTTTCAAATGTACACAATGTAGGTATTTCAAATGAAGCTAAATTATCACTGCTCTGAGCCAATCAAATTGCAGAAATTTCTCATGTAGTAGTATAACTTTAGAAAGGAAATTTTTAATGTGGAAAATGCAAAGTAAAATGAGAGGTTAAGCATTATTGTTAAAGAGTAGGGAAGAAAGATACATTGTAGAAATTGGGCAGGAAATACAATCATATAGGTGCAGAGTGGAAGAAACGAGGAGGGAGAGAAAGAGAAAAGGGGAAGAAACTAGAAGAAATAGGAAGAGAAACAGGAGATATTAGAATAAGCACTAAAAAGACGAAATGAAGGTAACTGGATAGGAAAAGGGGATGCGAACTGGAAGAAAAGGGATGGAAGGGAAAGAAAAGGAAAATGTGACAATGAGACAAGGGGATCATGAGGAAAGTCAATTTTTCAAAACCTTACTTTGTCTTGACATTTTTTCTCCATACAACAAAGGCCTTCCACATCCTAAAGTTGGCAAATGTTGGAATCTTAACAAGACGTTTATAGTCCTTGTACTCCTTCTCCCAGCGCTCCAGAGCAGTAAACTCTGCTTCATTGTCTCGCATGTGAGTGACTCCTTCACTGCTGATTGTGTAGTAGTCGGAATGGTTGATTTCACTATGTTTGACAATCCTGATGAGATAATATTTTGACTTTTAGTTGAATCTTACAATGTATTTATTTATTTTCTACAACTGCTGTACATGTAGATGAACTTTGACAGATAAGATTGTGCCATTTACAAATCGAATCGAGCCTCTTTGTTCAACCAGCTCTTACATAAAAGGACCACATATTCAAACTACCAAAATACATGCGAGCTTTCCAGCACTAAAGTGGACCTCTTATACAAACTTTAAATTACCACCACCCATAATAAAAAGCTCTAAATCTTCGCAGTTTGAGTAATCAACTTTAGGAAGTTTTGACTGTCATTTTTCCTCTTGTTCTATGACTGGATGAGAGAAGTTGAAACTCCTCTGATTGTTGTTGCCTTTATAATAATGAAAAAACATGTCATTCTATTTTCCCCAATTTAAAATCTGATTACTTGAAGGGGGCAATTAATTATTGAGGGATGGCTAATTATTTGAGGAAATTTGGTATTTTGCTTTGTGTCCCTGGCCCCAGTTGTTCAAAAAGTGGATAGCACTATCCAGTGGATAGTGCAATTGGTTTTACTATTACTTAACCACTGGATAGTGATTTATCCAGTGGCTAGCACTATCCAGCTTTTGAACAACTGGGGCCTGATGAATAAAGTGATGTCCTTTACTTACTTGAGGTTGTACGGGTTGTACAAGATTGACGACCTATCAACAGCCGGAGTCATATAAAGAAACCCAAGCTTTGAATTCTCTTTTATCAAGCTGATAATCTGAAGTGGGTCTCGTAACCCCTCAGGAATAACATCAGTTTTGTGCACGGCCACACCCCCATTCATGATGGGCTCCTGGAACTGAGTGACCTTCTGCTTCGGCGACATCTGTCGCTGAGGACTCACAGGTTTCACTTGAGCTACAGAATCGATTTTTTGTTGCTTACTTCTCAAGTCATCAGGCAAGTTTGGTAATGGAGATGTTGTACGCTCAAGGGGTTCCACAACATCTCTTCGGCGTGTCTTTTTCTTCTCCGGCTCAGATGATGATGGAGGTGTTGGAGATTTTGTCTTTCCTGCAGGTGATGTGTATGGCAGGCTTTTTTGCTTTTCTTGATATCTGGCAAGGTTTGGCTACAAAGAACATTATTTATTTCATCATTTATTAAGAGCCACTGCCTTATACGCCTGTGAGGCAGACACAATCTAACTCCAGTTAGTTATGTCTGGGCCACTGATAGACTCAACAAATAACCGGAAACGTATTTCCAGTTTCTTTTCAAACTGATCGGCAAATTGACAATGGCATTTTCAACCAAGGCCAATAATGGTGCATACAAGTACAAATGTACTTATGCAAATATTCAGCTTTAAATTGGTGGTCTTAGGTATTTTACCTATGGCCCATTGTGTAGCCTCTGCCACACACGGAACTAAATTTATGGTTAAGTCTGTCTGTGAAACATCGCCGAAATCCTTGTTCAAGGCCCCTACCTGTGTATCAAGATTTGAGAACGTGCCATGATTGGCCTGTTTAAAATGTCACTGACCATTTGCCAAATGAATCAAGATTAAAGAAAATTTGAAACGTTCTTCTTGTAATTTGTTGAGTCTGTTCGAGGCCCAGAGCAGCGACATTGGTACTGCTTCACAGAGAAATTTGACACTGATCACTCTTCTATAGGGCTTAAAGGGTTAATGCATCTGGGAATTATTGATAGTATACATGGGTGACTGCACAGAGCTGTCATTAAGGGAAGAAACCTGTAACACCTGTTATGGCTGAGCTTACTTGATGCGAAGGGTGATCAAAGTGGAAAGCTAATGGTGGCACTATAAATTTTTGAGAGATGCTACGGCTGTTTCAAAACTTAACGACAGCCCTGACACAATCGTAGTACACTGACTATTTAAGTCAGCTGGCCTCAAACACAAACACCTTATTGCACAATACAAAAAAAGCATTATCAACTTACCAGAGGCTCCAGTCTAGGAGCTGTTGGCACATTCTAAAAGAAGAATACCATAAAAAATGAAATAATTTGTCAGAGATAACAGCAGCTTTCAGTTGAAGAAAGTGATTGCACGTTTCTCTAAGTACATGTAAGTTCAAACGTGTACGGTTGATAATGTACAGGTCTAGGATGTAAACATCCATAATTCTACCACTAAATGCACAATAAATTGACACCCGCAAGTTTTAAAGGAAAGTCGAGGCTTATCAAAGAACAACAACAACAAAAACAAAAACAGAATGGTCTCAAGTGAGACCATACAGTGTAAGCATATAAAAGCTGATAAAAGATCGCGATCTGTCCCTCTCGTCGCATCACAAGCGTATGACTATCAACTTCTCATTTGAACTAAGATCACTGAGAAACTACGCAAACTTCTTGCTTTACGCTGATCTCAGATTGAAATTCTAAAAGCTTAACGACTTGACTTTTTTCTCACCTTTTTTCGCTGCACAGGAGTCGGGCCGCTAAATCTAAGGGCCCTTGGATTTGGTTTTAGTTGTGGTTTTGCATAAATACGGGCGCGAAGTTCATTTTGGTCGATCCCAGGCAGAGAAAACCCGTCCGGCCTTCCATTGTTTGCAGATTTTCTGTTGCCGTTAGCCAAAGTGCTGGGACCGTTTTGAGCCATTATCTTGCGAAACAAAACTCGTGGCTGTAATCAAAAGGTTCTTCCTTTGCGGTTTATCTCATTATTAACTGGACACATCCCTTAACAAACCATCTAGAGTACGAAAATGAACCATCGACACGAAAGACATCACAACTTTACGTTCTGCAGACTTTGTCCGCCATTTTGTTTCAGGATGAAGTTGCTACGTAACCGGGGTTGTCAACCGAGGCAGCCTCGATGTCATGCGACAGGAGAGCGATGAAGAATTGAGCGGAAAAGAAGAATTAAAATTTCCCACCTTCATTTTTTCCCACTCTTGATATACAAGTAAGATTTTTTTCATAAGTTCAATTTATATTTATTTGGGTGAAACATTGTTAATTCAATAATAAAAAACCCACTACACATTATTTTAGCAAACAATATTACCAAAGTTTGCGTTTTCACGCATGAATGCTAAAGCAGCTAAACACAATTCATTATTTATCGAGTCTTGCACTCAAGAAAACTCTCGGCAAAAGGCATGTCCAAAGATAAATAAATCCGCCACTGAATTTAAAGTTCGTAAAAACGCAAATAATAATAGCACTTTCTTCGCTATTTGCCAGTCACCTGTTGTTTTGAAACTCCTTGTGATACTACGTACTTGTGCTATGTCGTAGAGGGGCGTAGATCCTGTCATCTCGGTTCGTTGAGGCTGTGACATTGGTTCCTGTGAATGTGTCATCCGCGATCAATCGATCGCTCAATTCTCTATACCCCATTTCATCTTTGGACTAATTTCAGAGATAAATTTATCAAAGACGGTTTCGCTCTACCTATAATCTACTATCATATAACAGTACAAGTAAATTTGCGGAAAGCAATTCTAGTCCACAGAGTTAATTCTTTCAGTTCTGTCTTTCTTGCCTTTAGGACTGCAAAATGAAGGGAGTCGAACAGGTATCTTGAAAAAAAAAACTGACATCTTACGGCCCGCGTCTCGCAGTTGAAAATGATTTGCATTTAGTCGTCTTCGCGGAGATGTTTGAGATCATCCTTGAAACTGATATTTCAAGAGATTTCCGAAAACACTGTTTTTCTTTATAATTATCTCATCGTGCAGTAACGGTTCACTGGATTTTACGACGAAAAGGCGGTAAAATAATGATACTTTTTGGTGTAGAAATTCACAGAATTTATTCAAGCAAAGCCATCACTAAATTAGATTCACTGGTTTGGTTGAGAAAAGGCAAATTCTTTCTTGGCTAGATAATAGCAGAAATCAATGGACGATTGTTGCTAACAGTCTTCTTCTTTTCGCTGGGGACTTTTATTCTTTTCTTTAGGATTACTTCGCATTTGAGAAGGTACAAACTCGGCTGAAAGAATTAACTTGACGGATGAAAAAGGAAAATAGAGCTTCTTGTGGACAAAACGGCGGTGTGACGACTGAAACCAATTTTTTTTATTCCTGTGCTTGGCCCTTACTGAAACGGGTTCTTCTGAAGTGTCTAAAGTTTGTTTAAAAACGGTAATAACTTAGAGAAAACTTGATGATAGTCTGATTATCTGAAGCCTCTCCAGGGTTGGATGAAAGATTCAATGAGCAGCTGGAATATCTAATGGATTCACGTGGAAGATTCCACCGCAGACAGGAAGAGGAAATCAAGACAGAAACTTTCCTGGACTCGCTTGTAAGGCGAATGACCGTTTACGCAGTAGCCTTGATTGGCTTATTTCTCATTATTAAAGAGTTTCTTTTAGGTAAGTTGGCGATTTGGGTGTAGCTTTCGGAAGGGATTTCCGCACTTGACAGGCGCGAGATCGTTTTCTAATTTTTTTTCTGTGAACCCTTTAGTTCACCTTCGTACTAACTTGGACACGCTCAATGTTCATTTATTATTACGGAAATAACTGAAAACATATTTAACCGAATACACGAAGGAAAATAAGCTTTGTAGTTGATGTATCAGTTTTGCTACAGTCTCGAGTTTCCCTGACAAAGATAAACATTGGTGCAGTAAAGCGTATCATCTTCATTTTTAATTAATAACAAGCTTGATTTTAAAAAATTTGCCCGGCTTCCGCCGAAAAGCACCATCATTCTCTAACTATCCTCTCAATTCAAGCTGGACATGACGTCGGACATACTCGGAGATCCAGGGGCAGTCAGTCGGGGAGGGAAAAACGGCGCGACGGAATTTTTTACGCACCTGAAAACCGGTTTCATGGCACCCTTGGATCACAGAGGATGGTCGTTGGGACAATGACGCAACAGCTCATTTTCCCTCCCCCTACCACCCCTCCCCCCGGGCAGTTTTGACATGCTTGGGTCAATTTTAGCTTCTAGTAAACTATCCACCTACCCCTCCCCAAACTCAACGTTAACTCAAACTTCTAAACGTGTGGCAAAATGTCAGGTCAAATGGAGAATCTTATTCGCGATATAAAAAACCTATGCAAACCCCTTCCCCAGCCGAAGATTACAATTGACTTCTCTCGCATGTAACAAATTTCGGGTCAAGGGAGGCGTAGGTGGTCCGTTTACCAGAATCTTATTCGCAATATTATTGTCTGGGCTAAACTGCATAGCATGATGGCTATAGAGACATCATGTCCGCCATGTTGGTGTCCCAGAACATTAAAAGGGCAGCCATGTTGGTGTTCCCAACCAATCGTTTGGGAGTTGAACTCTTTTCTTCTGTAAACTCTTTTTTTTTTGTTCCAATAAATTTGAATAGTTGCTAGCCACATGAGTGAAAACGCTCTTTTGTAAACGGTTTTGTGTTTCACAATTTTGCCCGATGACACACTGTTCGAAATACCGAAACAAAAAAGGCGGGAAAGATTGAGTTTATTCAACGCTCCAAAAGACCAATAATCACTAGAGTAATTGCTCGTTTCATTCTTCAACAGGCACCTTCATCGTCTGCCAACCAATCAACAGAAGCGTTAGAATTAACATTTCTTACAGCCACTCAGAGGCGGACTACGACAAAGCGTACTGTTCCTTGTCCATGACTGACTTTCGGGAAAATCTCATCAGAGCAACTGGAGGTGAACCCAATGCCATTCCAGGGGTGACAATCATGGGCATCAAACCGGGCGAAGGGCGAGTCCTTTATCAAAATCTTCTACCGTTCGCTTTTATTATCCAAGCTGCACTTTGTAGCATTCCATCACTTCTGTGGAGAACATGGGCGTCAGAAATACTCTGTGCTTCTGTAAGATTCATCATGGATATCTCAGAAAGATTTCCTCGAGCTCCCATAGGCGAGTTTGCACCTCGTGATCGCAGAAAGGAACAAAGTTATGAAGTACTCTCCGAGGACCTAAGCAGTCAAGTTGATTTCTGGGGAGGCAGGAAATTCCTTGCAAGAGTCTACACCACGAAGCTAATGCTTAATCTTGGCATTTTGATCTTTGTTGTTTGTGTTTATCTGTCCTATCCAATGCTTAATTATTACAGCTTACAAGCGCTATTTGTTTGTCACGTGAACAGACAGACCTTAGTCACGTGCATTTTTCCCGACATTGGCTTGTTTAAAGTTGCGTGGATAGCCAATTTAGTCCTCGTCGATATCTCGATTGTCCTCGTTGTTTTCCAGTTGATAAACGTCGCCTTCTGCATTTCGCGGACAAGAACCTTCTTCGTCTGGTATCTTGGAGTGGAGGAAAGAAAAAAGACTAGATTACCAAATGACATGCATTTAATTTCACATTTCTGTTACGCAAATCTCACTGCGATGTGTCCTAGAATTGTACTCCATTCTGACATTCAAAGAACAGCGTTATATAATCCGCTTATTTCGTTAGGAAGTTCACAAGAGGAGTTGAATACTAGTAGCTCAAGTTCATCTCTCTCCTATAACACAGCTCCACAAGTGTTTAGACGACAGACCGCCACCGAATTAGATAGGGAATAATCATAAAATTAAAAGGGGAAGACTTTACGATAAGTCTTTCAAGATTTTGTGTAAACTACAGGGGGCACCCAACGAGAATATAGTTCAAAACCACTTAAGCATAGCATTGTTAAACGTATTTTAGTATTAAAACGGTAAATATAGGCGTATTTTTATCCCCTAAAAATTTTTCATCTGTTCGGATTTCCTAGCTGAAAGTCTAGTGATTCGAAAATTACAGAGATCAAAACTTACCTATTCGAAAATTTCAGCTAGAAAAAAGGCTCCCAAAAATTGTAGGTGACCTTTTAAAGGTAAAAATCCGTTGAAAATGGGCAATTATACCCGTTTTTTAGATGTTCGAAAACATGATCCTAGGAGAGGCAGACAAGCAAGAAATCGTCTTCCGAACAGATATTTTCCGAAAATTGTCGTTGGATGCCCCTGAAACTACTCATAGTATTCGATTAAACGGCTATAAAAGTGCACTTTTGCGTGTTAACACTGGAACAGCTCTCAATGTTGGATGAGCTTCTGTTCACGCATGAAGAACGGTGATTTCGGTGCAATTTCTGTAACAGAACGAAGTAGCGCCGCGCCGATCTCGAAAGTGGATCGTCATATACCGGATAGGTTTCACAGCCAGGGTTACATGCCGCTCTTGTTTGCAGCGTGAACATCAGACCGTGGGGATCGGAAAGTAAATGATCATGAATTGGGGCAAAGACTGGTACCCACTAATTATAAAGCAGGAGTAAGTATTCAGAAAAGAGTACCAAGCACCAGTTTGAATGCTGATCAGATATTAGTTGAAGCGTTAAGTTTAAAAGTTCAATCAAATTTTTTTGAAAGCAGTTGGAAAATTCAAGCACTGCTTTCAATGAGTTTTAGTTCGGTGTAAGTAAAATATTTACAGGAAAATGAAAATAATAATAACAAAAATTGAATAAATAAAATAAAGTAAGACAAGGAGGCGTTTTAGTTTTCTGCCCAATAAAGGGCACATTGGTTTAATTTTGCTTCTCTCTTATCTTACTTTTTTTCGGAGTTGTCAGCAGTACAACTTGTTCATTAATCCAGTTCCGAGGAGTTCCCAGCAAACTACGCGCCCGTGCGCTCCGATATGAAAGTTGAAAAAAATTATCAGAACATCATGATTAAAGTTCACTCAAAACGCAACTTAACTCAAACGTACAGTATACGAAAAGCAAATCCAATGCATAGGTTTCCTCGGTTGGAACGATACAGAGAGCTGTTGTCCAAGAAATTCAGGTCTTGCTTTACAATCAATATGAGAAATGAAAAATATTTATGCAAATTGAGCAGTTCATCGCAGCGCAACAACGTTTACTTGCAAAAATTCGCAAATTTAACGCACAGAGATAGCCTTGTTATTTTACTTAATTTCGCGGGCTTAAAGTCAAAGCCTATAAAGCTGTAATTGAAACATAAAATATAAGCAAGTTCAAGCAAACTCTGTTAGTGAAACTCGCTTAAAAACACAGCATTAAACTCAATGGACTCTTCTCGCCAGTAATGTTTTCTTTTAAGTACTGGAGTGACTGAAGTGTCTGCTGTTCAGTTCAACTTGCAATTATCTTTGGAGTGTGTGTCGGCTAATTTACCATTTTTTTAAAAATGGTTTTTAAAAAAACGATCTCGCGAGCCTAAAGCAATTTTCTTTCTTTCTTTTTTTTTTTGCTCACATGTGTTATTTTTTCGAAGATGTTAAACAGCGAAGATTTTAAAGATGCAACGTTCTTAATCCTTTGATGCATTTGTTTGTTTTACACATAACAATGCCAAGCGTTAAGATGAAGAAGTATAGGTGTTGTACGTTTGATGTAACAAGGCTGGCTTTAAGGAGTTTCCTTGGCAATGTAACTTTTCCAATTGAAACGCGAAGAAGGGTTCATATATTACTGAAAAAGACAAAGCTAAACGAATCATACAGTATCATTACTATATAGTACTCATAGTATACAGTACTTCTCTTTGCTAGACCAAAAGGTAAGTCACCTTTAAGGAGCTGTGTGCAGTCACGAAATTTATCAAAATCTAAACATTGTCAACTGCCACAAAATTGAGTGGAACATTAACATATCCTTTCAAAATGTTAAAAGCCCGATAAGAGGAAGGTAGACAACAAATACAAAAGGCCAGGCATGGATAGACAAACTTGATAAAGATTGAAATGGATTGCAATTGCATTTGGTTTTTGAAAAGACTTGTTAGGCTTAACAGTAATTCAAAGTTCAGTAGTTTTGTTGTTTGTGACGTTTGATATAAATGCATGCTTGGGAGACATACTTGTTTAACACGAGGCTGTGGTGTTGTAACTATTTACATGTAGTTGCTTCACTAACGTTCAGTTCCATGGTCAATATATAACGAAGCGTATTTGGCAATATTAAAAAAATACTAGGCAACCATGACAACCCACAGTCCCTTTAACAAAATTTATCCCTATTTCATACTTACATAGGTAACTGTAGGTTTAAAAATGAACTAACCTTCAAGCATTAACGAAAAAAGTATTTAAGTTGCTGATATATATTTATCGATAGTTAAGTTAGAAACTTTTGCACAGTTGTAGAGCACGGAGATTTATACTTTAGATAAAAAGTGAAAACAATTCTGTAGTATTATTTTTTTCCCGTCCTAAGCGGTATTCAGATTCGACGGGCGATGTCCTCGTACAATTTACGCGGCTTTCCGCGTAATTATTATCCGCGCGATCAACGCGATCATCATACTAATGTAAAAGTTTTAAATCATACAAGTAAACATTGTAGTTTTAACTATGAAGAGAGATTTTCAAAGTTTAGGAATTGTGACTGGTTTCAAAGGAGGTCTCAGTTAATGAAAGTTATCTTCTTTTCAAGTTTGGCATAGGAATCCACAGGGATACTATTAAGTTCGGTCGGCGCGGGCTAAATTCGAACTAGTAATTAAAAGTTTTGCCTATGCTTGCGTGTGAAAGACGAATTTTATTTAATTAAGGCAATGTACCATGATTTCATTCTATAGAGGTAATCCTTATTCTACAAGCTAATTCTTTTATTACACTGAAGGAGATAACAAATTTACGAACTGTGACATTTCTAATTTATCAAACAGACTATTGATGAAAACCAGCAATGCATAATTCCAGTCAAGCCGGGGTTAAATGTTGCAGGCGAGTATTAACTGTTATTCTGTTCTTCATCATCGTCTTCCTCCTCCTCCTCCTCCTCCTCCTCCTCCTCCTCCTCCTCCTCATCATCACTATCTTAATCATTATCATCAACATCATTGTTATATCGTCATCAGCATCATTATCTTTATTTATACACGGTTATAAAGGTAAAAAAACTGCAACACTTACGGCTATGGATACAGGTTCAGCATCTATAACATAAAAATGTTACTAACTAAGAAAGGAAAACTAAATTAAGACCTGTTTTTCATGAATGCCGTGTCGGTATTTAATCAATAATCGTCAAAATTAGTAAGAAATGTTGCTTGCCTCACAGCTGAGGGCAGACTGTTCCAGAGGATTGCACCACTGTAGCTAAAGCTTTTTGTAATAGTTTTAGTACGTGGCAAGGGAATGGCAAGCTTATTTTCAGAATTACGCAAATTGTAAGAAGTAAGCAAATCACTTTGCTGCCGGATGATGATTTTAGAGGGCAAATAACTGGGTATTAGGCCATTTAAAGACTTATAGACCATCTCGGCCTTTAGTTTTGGACGTCGAGTTTTCTAAATTAGTTGGCTGGCGTCAGCTTCATAACTGGATTGAGTAAGGACGCAGCCCGCCCGATTTTGCAATCTCTGTAATTTATCAGATAACGTCTTGCATAGCACAGTTACCCCAGAGAACACTACAATAGTCGAAGCGCAATTGAACTACCCCGCAGTAGATATTATGCAGGGTTGCAGTAGGAACACACACACACTTCGTTTAATAGATCCAATGCCAAAAGAATTTTTTTTTGATATTGCGTTGATATCATAACTCCATGTTAAATTTTCATCAATTAATTCACCAAGAGACCCTGTTTAATTGTGTACCATAAAATTTCAAACCTGGGAAACGGATAAATTGTTCAATTTTTTGTCTTGATCCAATTTTAAAACATAAATTCAGTTTTTGTCATGTTGGGAGTCAATTTTTTAGCAATGAGGCGGCGGTTTATATTTAACAAATCCCGATTTAAAGAAGCTCAATGGAGCTATCATCTGCATACATTCTTGGTTTTGGATGACTTACCCAAAATATGTAAGAGAATATATAAGAGAAACAACAAAGGCCCTAGTATTGTCCCCTGGGGGATTCAACAAGTCAGGGTGCAGCTTTTAGAAAGGAAACCATTGACAGCGCATTTTTGCGTGTGATTGTCTAAGTATGAAGAGAGAAATTCGTAAGCATTTCCTTTGATTCCAGATGAATTTAGTTTGGATAATAAAATAGAGTGTGGTTGACTGTGTCAAAAGCTTTCTTTAGATCTAAAAAGACAACGGCGTTAACATAGACACGATCTATTTTAGGGGGCCTAATTATCAGTGGCTTCCAGTAAAGTGGTCTCAGTTGAGTAAAGGGATCGAAAACCGGACTGATGTTTTGACAAAATATTACTTTCGGATAAATAGGAAGAAATCTGATTATAAACTATTCTCTCAAAGAATTTTGCTATTACTGAAAACACTGAAATTAGGCGATAATTATTCCGTCACTTCTATCATCCTGTTTGAATATGGGAGTAACTTTGGCCAATGTCCATTCATCAGGCAATTGAAAATAATTAATTGAAATATATTGCGAAATAAGGGCAGCGCAACCTTGAATAAGCCGACTTGATATCTTATGGAGACCAGCCCCTTTGGACTTCTTTAGTTTATTCAGTAGCCTGTCTACAAAAGAGTGTTTTCACTCACGTGGCCAACATCTATGCAAATTTATTGGAACAAAAGAAAGCGTTTGCATAAGAAAAGAGTTCAACTGCCACAGGACTGGTTTGGGACACCAATATGGCCGCCGTTTCAAATATGGCTGCCGTGACGTCATATGAAAACACTCTATTAGTAGGGCGGAACTCGAATCTGTTATCAATGTCTTTGACACATTTCAGATGACAGGTGTCATTGCTGTTAGACAACGGGAAGTCGTTAGAAAGTTAAGGTCTTATGGATGAGAAATGATCATTGAATCAAAGCATTTGACAAGTCACCGATTCAGTTAAAGAAATATCATAAAATTTTATCTCTCTAGTCGATGAAGTGGAATATGAAGAGGTGAGGTCGATCGTTATTATCATTATTATCAGCATCATCGTTGTCGCCTTTATGAATATATCTTTGTTTATTTTTTCTGAAAATATTCTTCGCGACAAGGGATGGTGGAGGAGCTTTGTTCAGCATTTTCATTTCCCACAAATATGCAGATAATGTAAATTTTAAGTTTAAATTCTTCAATCGGCAGCACATTTTCTTCTAACTATAAACGCACAAATTGCTTCACAAATAGTAGTGCCCAGCATCTCTCCATTTATCTTTGATATCTGAAAACTTTTTAAATAAACTGTTCCCAACACTAAAAAAATCTGAACACCGGCAAAAGCATTTTTCTGTCAGCATCGAATGGAAACTCGCCCTAATGCTAACTGCCAGGCCATGGACCAGGCTTAAAATGCACCATCACATTTCTATTAAAAAAAATACGGCGTATTCTAAGTGATTCAAAGTCAGTTTATTCAAGTTTTAAAACTAAAAAAAAACGATATTTAGACGGCATCTCGAGATATTTAGAAATGTCTGAGCCTTTTTCAAGGGATGCGTTTCGTGATAGGACTTCAGTCGATATGACATCAGTCGCTTGCGCTATTTTCATGGGAGCACGAGGTCAGTCATCATTAAAAAAATATACTTTTTTGCTTCTCACTAGGGCACTGATGTCGTGGCTTCCGTTCATAAAACTTCGCGAGATTTTGGTTGGGATTATAGTCGGACTTTTTCTGGCTATTTTGTTCTGGAGTGGAGATCGGTACGCAACTCAACCGAAGACGGGAAGTGATAGTGGTGAGTTTAACCTACGATTAGGCTTGTTGTTGTTGTTGCTTTTTTTTTTCTCGGAAGAGCACGAAATCGGCGGGTATCTCCTAAAGAAAAACCCGGGACAAAGGAACCGTTGATGGCAGGTTAGGATGAGTTTCATTCAAGTAGCAGGAGTTGAAAGTCAAGAAACTTTTTCGCATTCCGTCTGCTGGTATAACCATGTCCACAAGCAAAACTTTCCTTGTTGTTGCGCCCCAAACCCTGACGTCAATAACAATCGTTTTTCTTCTGCCCAAACCAATTGTTATTGACGTTAATTGTTGTTGCCAGACCGGCTGGCCGTCGTGTGGTTGCTTGCTCTCCACCACATGTTGCTGGAATCGGGAAGCAGAAATTCTCGCGATTTGTTTTGAACTCTTAGCGGGGATTCAGCCACGCTTCACAAACAAACAAAGCAGCAACGATAGCAGTCAGTGACACTTAAGCCCCGTGCAAATGGACCGCGGAGGGGGCGGGGGGGTACTCCCTTACAAGAGGCTAATAGGGATGTGCCGCTGGATGGGGTCGTATTTTCACGATTGGAGTGACTATAATGGGGTCGCATTTTCAATGGATTTACTAGAATGGGGTCGCAAATTTTCGGATTTTTGAGGTAAGTAGGGATTCAAAATGGGAAGATTCTTGGTTAAAAAATCAGAAAGTTTTTGTTATCAAATTTAACGATAAGCTCGCATTGACCGCGCATTACATTCCGCCGCTTGAAACCACATTGATAAGGTAGATGTATAAATAGAAAGTGACTAAGTTGGGATCGCGAAAATTACTTTTCCAAAAAGTGACTAAGATGGGGTCAAAAATATACTATAATGTGGTAGGGGCTCTGAGAGGCCAGCGGCACATACCCAGCAAACATTAACCTATACCCCTCCCCCGGGAAACGGACGTAACACTGTTTCCCAACAACTCCCAACATTGTCGGACGTTACATGTTGCATCTGTTTGCACACCCTGTTGCATCGGTCAATCTTTTAGTCACGCCAACGATGTTGGCAGTTGTTGCGTCTTTTGCACATAGCTTTAAAATATTGAGACAATTGCCCTATGGGAGTGCCAGTGTTAAGGGCTTTAACCTGCCCATGTGTCTCTAACCTTCTGCCCATACTAGACGAGAAAGCGGAGGTTGATGATTTTGATTATGACTATCTTTCTTGTAATTAAGTTATGTCAGGAGCCTATGACTCCTGGTTATGTTAATGTAGACAAGACAAGACAAGACAATGTTTTATTTGGAGTCTTATAGAGTCCTATGTTTATCGACTTTATCCAAATAATTTATCCAAATGTATATCGACTTTATCCAAATAATTTATCCAAATAATTTAATGTATATCGAACTTTTAACGTCATCTAGTAGCTGTATGTTTGTGTATTCACAGGCAAAACAGTCAACATCGATTTCACCGTTTTGAATGCTCAAGCTGCAGGAGAAACTGTAGACAATACCAATACAGGTAAAGAAGAATATGTATAGGGTAACTGTCACCCCAGGGGGTACTCCCTGTAATTGCATAGAGGGGAAGACCCCCCCCGCCCCTCTCCTTAGGTTTTAGGTTTTCAGGATTTCATTAGTGGAAGTAAAAGAAAGGACAGGGAAATGTGTAATTTTGATATGAAAGTGCTAAAAGACGCAATTTAACAGTATGACTTCCTAGTTTAGTGATTTATTCTTGTCTAAAACCGTTCTTAATTCGTATAGGTATGTGAAAGTGGTACGTAGTATTTGCTTGTAGAAGGTATATGAAAGGGTTACCCAAGTTTTCCGTCAAAAATAGTATATGAAAGTGTGATACACTTCGATGAGAAGGTCACACACTTGGTACAAATTTCTAGTCCTCATTAAATCTTGTTTTAATTCACAGTTTCCTTTCACCGCTCCTTCACGGGCAAATACAAATACATCGACGATAATCGATACTTGAAAAAACTTGTTTGTGCAAACGCAAATAGAATCCACGCGAAAACATCGATCGACGGTTAGGCTCAAAATTTAGTGACCGACCGCGACAATCTAAAGTCACGTGTTCGAAAACAAAGAAATACATTAACATAATTAGAAATGGCGGGAAAAGACACGACAGAAAGGGTAAGGGGGTGGTCGACTTCGGGACGAACCCTCCTCGTATAAAACTTTATTGAGTGTGCCCCAGGCTGCCACTTATCACTTTTGTTGCGCTCAATCACGCAAATCATGAGATGATTTCACATCTCACGATAACGCTTATCTCACGCGTGCTCACATTGAGTGCTTTTCTCGTTTGGAGGTGAATCTTTTTCACAGGAATTTGAACGGTCATTTTAGCGACGGACAAATTTGCGAAAACGAAATCATCTGGAGACTTAATCTCGTGCCCAGATCTTTTAGCGACGAGGCTTGAGGCGACAGATCTGGCACGAGATTACTGAAGTATCTAAAAGATGATAAAAGCGTTTTCACTCACGTGGCCAGCGTCTACGCAAATTTACTGGAGCAAAAGAAAGCGTTTACATAATAAAAGAGTTCATGATCAACTCCAGCAGGATTGACTTGAAACACCAACATGGCCGTTATTTCGTTGTTTTGGAACACCACTTTGGCCGCCGCGACGTCATGTGAAAACGTTTCATTAGGCCCTAAATGTAAACACGGCATGGTCCCACTAACAAGGTTATAGAAAGAGTTACGTGAGACAGCTAAGCTTTTTAACGCTTCCTCTCATAGACGAGGTCATCTCAGAGCGCGACTTGTACAAAGCTTACAGTCACGTGAACACTATCGTCTTTTTCATTGGTTACCCACGAAGTCGTCACAGCCTCCTCGGCTCACTATTGGACGCTCATCCGCACATGGTTATTTCAGACGAGACAATGGCTTTTAATCGATGGAAAGCGAGAACAGATCAGTGGATGCAGCACTCAATATACGCTTATTACGACACGATGTTTAGGGCTTCACATCGCGCTGTTTCACACGGTAGAAGATCACGTGTGTTTAACGATACCGTCGTAAACAAGTCGTCCGCATACGGATATTTTGTCCCAAATCAATGGCAAGGAGCATTCGACACGTACATTGAGGTAAAACAGTTCTCATTTTTCTTTTTATGTATCATGCCGTGAGAGTTGTATTGTTTTATTGATTTCCCCAATGGAAAATTTGAATACGGGCTTTAGAGATCGTCGAGAGCGCGTATGAAAATAAAAACCGCGGGGGATTTATTTACCGCTAGTGCAAGGAGGTGGAGTGGACACTCCGCGTAAAACAGCCTCTTAAAAGCATTCTTTCATCAACAGATAATCGGTGATAAGTCGGGAGCCTTTACAGCTGGTGCGATGACCTCGGAGAATGGAGTTGATGCAGTTCACCTTTTGGAGAAAGCGTCCGGAGCCCAAGTGAAATTTGTTCATGTTGTGAGAAATCCCTTTGATAACATTGCGACCATGACCCTACAACATAGACAGGTCAAAGGTCGGGATGGGACTCATGAAACAAAGGTAAGCTGCAGTGACGTGTATATAACGTACAGGCTCTGGATCAAATCTGAGTCCGTTCAACAAAATAGAAAAAGAAAGTAGAAAAAAAGCAGGCCAATGAACAGTATGGCAAATTCGTTCCCAGGACTTTAAGCTATTGTGAGGGAAAGGCCGCGGGGCCTGGGAACGGTTGGGGGGTTAATTATAATTCGGCCTAGGGTGGATTTATACTGATGCGTAATTTTTGCGTGCGTGCGCACGTAAATTTCATGCGACAGTGGAATCCACCTTAAGAGAAGAACTGATTGAAACAAAATAAATAGATAAATAAATAAATGCTTTTTAAACATATTCCTTCCCCGAAATGACTTAGATGGATAACCGAGGGAATAGTCTTATCAGAGGATTATAAGCACTTATCGTCTTATCGTTTCTTGTTAACATTATCATCTTCTTTCTGATGTATTTTAGCAGATCAATGCTCCTGAGATACTTGACGAAAAAATAAGCCAGTATTTTAACTGGGCGGAAGGATGCAACAGAGCCAGAATTTCCTTTCCCGGCAGAGTTCTAGACATCCCTAGCATGGAAATAGTGAAAAGACCAGCGGACACTTTGAGAAAAATATGCGCGTTTTTACAAATCACGTGCTCGGAGGACTATATCCAGGACTGCTCGAACACTGTAGACCCAGTTCCTTCTATAACACGTGACTTTGTAGAATGGACTGAAAATCAAAAGACAACAGTGTATGAACAAATGAAAAGGTTTCCTTTTTTTGAAGGTTATTCTTTTGAAAAGTCTGAAAAGTAAATACTACTGGAAGAGGACCCTTCGGTTGTTTTGTTAAAGATGTTTTCTTAATAGCTCAGATAATGGTCAATTTCTCTTTATCATTTTGAAAGAAAGACGAAGGGTCGCTAGTTCAAACAAATTGAACTAAGGCCGCGTTTTGATAAAATATTGGACCTCATGGAGCCAGATCACTTCGAAATTGTTTGGTTTTAGGTGAATGAGTGAATATATGAATGAAAGAATGAATGAATGAATGAATGATTGATTGATTGATTGATTGATTGATTGATTGATTGATTGAATGAATGAATGAATGAATGAATGAATGAATGAATGAATTGATTGATTGATTGATTGAATGAATGAATGAATGAATGAATAAGCCTACTGTCCTAGTAACTGACTTAATACTTCAGTCAGGTAGAGAAAGCAGTTCAGTTTGGCCCGAAACAAGTGCCACACAGACACATAACAAACTAGTAAATGGGTTAAAGTGTTCAATATTAGAAGTGTGGTGAAAGATAAAAAGTCACCAAAGTGGACGATTCATTCTAAAAATCATTAATAATTCATAAAGAATATACAAAGGAAATTAATGTTTAAAGAGTGTTTGGAAATCAGATGAAAAACTGTTAATTTTTGGATCCTTAATTTCTCCTTCTAAAATCATTTTGTTTGAGAAGGAACATCAAGCATTCGACACAGTGTTTCATCACCAGATGGAACACCACGAAGTTCGTCAAAAGTACTCCGCTGCGCGTCGTATTTTCAAGTCTCGTCTCAGTGTTTCATTTGGTGACGAAACACTGCGTCTCATCCTTGATATATAGACGTCTATCGTGTTAATCTTATGCGACAAGCTCGCGAAGATGATCAATTATTTGTGGGAAAAAAAAAAACAGGAAGGTTTGTAACAAAATAATCACTCCTATCCAGCTTCGCGTCTGTTCAAAGGCCAGGACACTGAACGCACAACCGTAAAATGGCCTACTTAGCTCCAAAAAAAAATTTCTTGGCCTTAACCTGAGAAGACAGCCGACATTTTGCTACAACTCCACTGGTTTTCCCTCGAAATAACTTCTGAGTAAGGAGGACAGATATTTCATGCTGATGCCGTGTGACTACCCAGATCTGGGTAGTGATTCTGATTGGTTGTTCCGCGCGAGAAATTTGTTTCAACCAATCAGAACACTATCCAGACCCAGGTAGTGACACGTCATCAGTATAGAATTTCTGCAGGAACTTAGAGAAACTGATTCCCAGGGTCCTCCTCTTCCTAATTCTCTCACGCCCAAGTTGACGGGAAAAAGAGAAGCACTAGTTTGAAGCTACCAATACCGGTGTTGCTTTTAACTACTCGCTTCTGTCTCTCCATGTAAGGTAATTTGGATTCTGTAATCCGGGAATTTTTGTTGGTGCAATCCGAAATCCTTAATCCAGGAATTTACTTTTCTTGTGGAATCCGGGATCAAGGGCTTTGGAATTCGGAATTCAGCTTAAGGAATCCGGAATCCCGCGAACAAGTTACAAGCCTTAGTTCAATAATTATTTGTGAATTTTTGGATGATTTTTCGAATGTTTTTAATGTGTCAAATTTACGGTATGTTTTTCTGCAGTGACTCTGAACATGTGTTTACACTACTACAAAGAAAATCTTTTGCCAATTAAATGTTCTAATCAATAATTTGTAGTCAAAAGTTGTTTAGTTGTTTTTGAGGGCCACAAGTTTATCAGTTTTTTTTTAATAACTGTCACGTGTTTACCCTCTTTAAATAAAGGCGTTACCTTACCTTACCTAGGATGACCAGTGTCAAATAATGTACGAATTTCAGTGTTTGTTGTTGTGTAATAAAGTAGACAATTGTACAGACCTTTAAGTGGATCAATTGTCCTTGACGTATTATTGAACTTAAAATAAAAGAACACATGAGCACCCTTACTGACACAAAGCATTGCGTTTGAATGGACGGACTTTTTAACTTTTACAGCTGATCATTTGCTACAAAATTACTAATTCTGTTGAATTTGTCCCAGTCTGCCTCTTCCTTTTTAGCGAGGCGTTTCTTTACCACGTGACACGTGTAAAGGGCCATGTGACCAGGAGGCGCGCGCTAGGTTGAGCAAACTCAGTCTTAACAATCTTGGATTCTGGATTCCACTCCATGGGTTCTGCATTGCGCCAACTGGATTTTAGATTCTTTGTCATTGAAACTTCCGGATCCCAATCGTAGAGGTATTCCAGATTCCTTGAGCTGTATTCCGGATTCCAAAGTCCAGGATTCCGTATTCCACAAGCAAAAATTTCCTGGAATCTACATTCCACAGGCAAAAATTTCCTTGATTCCGAAATCCTGATTCCCCTTTTTTTATGGAGCGATTATTTGTTCAAAATTAAAGCATTTTCGCTTAGGTGATTATTTCATTAATTCTCATAACTCTGTTGGTAAGATTTGCGATTGGTCCGTTAAGTTTTTTTATTCTCAAAAAGAGGCAACATCGGAAAATCTTCGTTGGTTTTCTTTTTAAGAAAAGATTTCAACGCCGTTTTAAAATCTCGCCTGAAGAAAGTGTACAACAAAGGATTGAAGATTGAAGAAGTGTATCTGACAAGAACGAATACATGCGAGGGAATTTCCAAATTATCCACTTTGATCTCGTGTTTGATCCTATGGAACAGTGTTAAGATAAACCATGGCAGCCAACAGGCCAGGAAAAATGTCGCCATTAAAGCAAACAATATCAAGCACCTTTTCTCGGCAGCAGCTTGTCGACGACTTATGTGTGGCCTTGAAGAAACATTGTCTTTGATTTTGCTTGGACTTGAAATCTTTTTGAAGATAACCACAAAAGCGTAAATCATGAATGAATATGGCAGCAGAAAGACTGCTACGAGACAAAGTGCAATATGCGCCAGCGAGAACTTTGCTTGAATATCTCTGAATTCCAGATGAAGCCAAGAAAAAGGAATAAACGCTACAATGACGGACACCAGCCAAATAATTATAAGTACTATTGCAACTTTTTTTACTTTTATCGAACGGTGTCTTACAGGCCATATTATTGCCAGGTATTTCTCGGTGGTCACTGCAAGAATGTGATAACAAGCCGATATCGCGGTCAGATGGTGAAGAACGCCAACTAGATAAACCAGGTAAAACTTTACCTCACCAGAGGTGATTACTGGTGTGAACGCAACGATGATGAAAAGTGGAATGTTTACAAGCCCGTTCATTAGATCACAAATAGCTAAGCTTAAAAGGACGTAGTTTGGTGGTGTGTGAAGCTCCCTTCTCTTTGAAAATAAAGTCAAAACCAAGCCATTTGCAACGATGATCAGTAAGGCTAAAGGGAGAAGTTGTGCGATTGCTTGGCCGTTTACTCCTTTTGCGTTTGGGACGTTTGGTGACACTGTCGCAGTTGAAATATTTATCATCTTAAGCTCCTCGAGGTCTTCTTTGATTTATTTCTCACTTGATTGCGCGTATCCTGCAATCAATCAATCAATCAATCAATCAGCCAATCAGTCGATCGATCGATCAATCGATCAATCAATAAGTCAGTCAATCAATCAAATAATCAGTACGTCCGTCAATCAATCAATCGATTGAATCGATTGATCGATCGATCAATCAATCGACCCATATTTTTTCTACCAATCTATCGGTCGGCTAATCAATCGATAGCCAGCGAACGCAGAGGTTTTTTCCGGTCTTCCATTGACAAAACAAGCTGATCTCCACAAATTTCCGTGAAGAAACATTTGAGTGAACTTGATAAAAGAACAAAGTATTTTCCCTTTGGTGATGATCTTCCTTTTAGGAGTGTAGTCTACCGCGAGTGTAACCTACACGTTATCAGGTGTGATGGACTGACCGCTAGCTTCGCCTGGAACACGCTACCTCTAGCTGAGGTGCTCCTTCGATCTGGTAGCTAGAGCCCTAGCGGTTTCTCCCACATAATCAGGATTCAAGTCTGTAGGGTTGGGATCTTATCCTGTGCAATTCTCCTGTCATGTGACCGTCCTAATGACACCTGGCTACGTTGTAGTCATGCACTCATTTTCGGCTAGCCTGAGAACAGGCCTTCGGCCTTTCCCCAAACAGAGAGCCCGTTCGCAGGCTAATTTTCGAATGATGAAAGATAAGCGACTTAGCTGAAATGTTCCAGTCTATAATTTCTTCTCACTGATGTTCACAAAACGCGAAATGAACTTTTCCGCTTCAACTACTCTCATGTTAGTCATCAGTAGCATGAAGCTTATTATATCGGTGCAGGTGTCAATATAATTATACTTGAATATCCATTACCAAAGCCAAAAAGAAGCAAAGACTGAAATGTTTTCAATCCTAAAAGCAAAAAAAAAATTGGAAGATTACATGTCTACCATATCTTTGAAGAATTACAATTGGTAATTCCTTTTTGACGACTAGGACGAGAGATAAAGTAAACTTTGTACGAGTCCATTAGAGTAAATTTCACCAAGCGAAGCGACTATAAGTTATATCCTTCCAATTATACAAGGCCTGTATTTAAATTTCCTGTTAACTGATCATGAAGGAAAAAATGTCATAGCACGTCTCACTCGATTTATAACTGAAAAACTGATGCTTTCTGGAAGACAAAATTGAAGTAATTTTAAGTCTATTGGTGCAATACTAACTTTCACCGAATTCAGTCAAACATTTACAATATTCTGCATATTTCTAATTCTGTTGAATTATGGTTTTAATTTTTTATTGCGAGAGTCGACATACGTTGTATTCGTTCTCAATTCACGGAGAGCACTGGTTACTGGCTCTAGAACTCTGAGCCGTAACAAAACGCTTCTCAAATGTTTGCGCAATGTTGTTTTGCAATCTAAATTTCACCAAAATTCCGCCTTCGCTTTTCGATGACATTTAGGAATTAACAGCATTTTCACTTGTAATGGCTAACGTTCTGGTGATAACATATGCGTTGGGAAACAATGGTAACCGCAAAAAGTATCTAAAATACGAATTTCGGGAACATCAGAAACT